GATATAGCGGATCAGTTTAATCAAAGTATAGCACCTTACTAATTTAAAAATGAAAGTGTTTTGGTTTATATTGTGTTTATTATTGACATTTTTTGATTACGCGATTGGTGCAAAAATCCTTGCCGTTTTTCATGCACCGAGTTTTAGTCATTACATTTTAGGTGTAAAGTTACTCAGAGCTGTTGCAGAAAAGGGACATCATGTCACCATGATTAGTCCGTTTCCACTAAAAAACCCGCCAAAAACATGGAGAGATATCGTACTTGAAGATCTTACAAAAGGATTTAGTTTTGGTATGTAAAAAAAGGTTCTTATAAATGACATTCTTCAGAAGTATTAACACATAAGAATAATTATAAAAGTAATGTATCACATCAAATGATTTTGGTATCGTTCAAAATATTTTTGTTTCATTTTTACCGTGGTTGACGCCTATTTTATAATAATTCTATAAAATTGACGACAGAAATCATACGATACAGTTAGGAGAGTTATCTATATAAATCCGTTCAAATCGGGGAACTGGAAGTCCAAATCTTAAATATATACCTTCTTCATCATTAATGTTTTTTGACAAAAGAAGTTGCACCGCCAAATCATACCTGTATTAGGCCCAGGAACACACATTTAATTTTTTGCGTAAAGTTCTGTTCCTAGATGATCAGCATTGTTCAGGTGATGTGTATAATCGTATTTTTGAAGGTGCTGGACGAATAATAATTGATTCAAAAGTATAAGAAATGATATAACTGCTTCATTCGCCCCTATATCACTCTAAATTACAGCATTGATGGCAAAAGTTTGATCTTGTGAAGTGCAAGTCTTCTTAGTAGGACGTTTGTTTAGCGGATGTATAATATGTTTGGCATTTTTTGTAAAACTACTAGGTCCATCTCTCTATTGTCTACCCTATTACATTCAAGGTTATTATTACACCCGAATTCGTACGTGTCGTATGGGAATTAATGTGATTTTTGGTAATAACATCCAAGAAACAATCGAAAGCCTTACTGCAGTACATATACCATTTTTCTAACCGGAGCCGTACCTAATATTTACGCAGTGTTGTCATAGTTTTGAAGATATTAGTTGTGGTCCAACTCTTCAAGTTGTCAATCCCTTGTCTCTACCCTATCATTAATCAAATTGCTTTTCTTAAAAACGCATTAAATTTTATTAGTGTAAGTTAAATACAGTTTTTTAAATATTAAAAGGCAGACCTAAAGGACCTTATTAATCTGCCATAAAAGCAAATTCTCAGAGAGTATATCATTTGTCAGAAATTGTTAGAACCAAGGAGAGATTTTTTCGCTTTTGTTGTAAATAGATGTGAATAGACATTAACTAAATTATTAACGTCTGCCATTTATATTGTAGGTTAGTTTCAAAATTATTATTTTTTTTATTTAACTTGCCTCGTGTCGCCCAGATAGTGAAAATTAAGGAAGATAATTTAAACAATACAACGGGCAACAAACCACATATCACGGACAATAAACCTAAAGCATATACGACAAATTACACGAGTCACTGATGAAAATACTATTCGAAACAAAACAGTTAGTCGCATAAATGAAATATTGAATTTACATTACTATGAGGTACCTATATCAAACCTTTTTTTAAAATTGAGCACACTCGTCAACTGGTACTATTTAATCAACATTTTCAGGATGCAATTCTAAAATTATATAAAAATGTACTGCTATGAATTCCTTATCTGACTTTGAGAATAATTTATTTGTTAATAATTACAATCTCACAAAAGTAATCTTGCCTTTTTTCTTATTTTTAATACCTTCAATTTTTTAAATTATGGTTCATCTTTGTTTTTGAATTACTACATTTAATCCTATTGTAAACGTTTAGTATTAATTACACCACGCGTTTTTTAACTTTCATCTATTTATCATTTTATCTAAACAATCCTGCTATCTTTTTAATTGAAGTGCATTTTTAATTATTTGTTCTGTTTATTATTTTATCTGTAGGTATGTGCGTTTTTGTGTATTAATATCTCCTTTGAAAATTAATGTAGTTTTGTATGTACACGCCGAATTATTTAGAAGTACTTCCAACTTTAAAAATCGAGTAAGTTAATAGATTACAAAGTTTTCTATTTACGACGTTTGTAGTCTTAAAACTCCCCCCTCCATCTGGGGTGAAACGTCGGTATAACTTTGTAATTAATAAAAATCTTCTATCAGTTCTCTGTTAGTCATTATTTGTTAATGGTTAATTGAAATAAAATAGAATTACAAACTACTTTTTTGTTCATAGTTTTCAAGAGATGGCACCAATCAAGAATTACTGCATATAACAGATAAAATAACCCTATGCTCGGTTACCAAGTCGCCATTACTGTATGAACGAGAGAGAAGATGGGTGTAATTGGACAGTTCCTACTCGACAACGCTACTGTATTATAGGATAGGATGCTGTTCCAGGCATTTATTCTCCAAAGATATAGCGGATCAGTTTAATCAAAGTATAGCACCTTACTAATTTAAAAATGAAAGTGTTTTGGTTTATATTGTGTTTATTATTGACATTTTTTGATTACGCGATTGGTGCAAAAATCCTTGCCGTTTTTCATGCACCGAGTTTTAGTCATTACATTTTAGGTGTAAAGTTACTCAGAGCTGTTGCAGAAAAGGGACATCATGTCACCATGATTAGTCCGTTTCCACTAAAAAACCCGCCAAAAACATGGAGAGATATCGTACTTGAAGATCTTACAAAAGGATTTAGTTTTGGTATGTAAAAAAAGGTTCTTATAAATGACATTCTTCAGAAGTATTAACACATAAGAATAATTATAAAAGTAATGTATCACATCAAATGATTTTGGTATCGTTCAAAATATTTTTGTTTCATTTTTACCGTGGTTGACGCCTATTTTATAATAATTCTATAAAATTGACGACAGAAATCATACGATACAGTTAGGAGAGTTATCTATATAAATCCGTTCAAATCGGGGAACTGGAAGTCCAAATCTTAAATATATACCTTCTTCATCATTAATGTTTTTTGACAAAAGAAGTTGCACCGCCAAATCATACCTGTATTAGGCCCAGGAACACACATTTAATTTTTTGCGTAAAGTTCTGTTCCTAGATGATCAGCATTGTTCAGGTGATGTGTATAATCGTATTTTTGAAGGTGCTGGACGAATAATAATTGATTCAAAAGTATAAGAAATGATATAACTGCTTCATTCGCCCCTATATCACTCTAAATTACAGCATTGATGGCAAAAGTTTGATCTTGTGAAGTGCAAGTCTTCTTAGTAGGACGTTTGTTTAGCGGATGTATAATATGTTTGGCATTTTTTGTAAAACTACTAGGTCCATCTCTCTATTGTCTACCCTATTACATTCAAGGTTATTATTACACCCGAATTCGTACGTGTCGTATGGGAATTAATGTGATTTTTGGTAATAACATCCAAGAAACAATCGAAAGCCTTACTGCAGTACATATACCATTTTTCTAACCGGAGCCGTACCTAATATTTACGCAGTGTTGTCATAGTTTTGAAGATATTAGTTGTGGTCCAACTCTTCAAGTTGTCAATCCCTTGTCTCTACCCTATCATTAATCAAATTGCTTTTCTTAAAAACGCATTAAATTTTATTAGTGTAAGTTAAATACAGTTTTTTAAATATTAAAAGGCAGACCTAAAGGACCTTATTAATCTGCCATAAAAGCAAATTCTCAGAGAGTATATCATTTGTCAGAAATTGTTAGAACCAAGGAGAGATTTTTTCGCTTTTGTTGTAAATAGATGTGAATAGACATTAACTAAATTATTAACGTCTGCCATTTATATTGTAGGTTAGTTTCAAAATTATTATTTTTTTTATTTAACTTGCCTCGTGTCGCCCAGATAGTGAAAATTAAGGAAGATAATTTAAACAATACAACGGGCAACAAACCACATATCACGGACAATAAACCTAAAGCATATACGACAAATTACACGAGTCACTGATGAAAATACTATTCGAAACAAAACAGTTAGTCGCATAAATGAAATATTGAATTTACATTACTATGAGGTACCTATATCAAACCTTTTTTTAAAATTGAGCACACTCGTCAACTGGTACTATTTAATCAACATTTTCAGGATGCAATTCTAAAATTATATAAAAATGTACTAAACAGTTATACATTATTTAACACTGATTCATGAAAATGATATTCCTTTGGTACATTACAGTTCATGTTGTAATTATAAAAAAAAAATAATACAACGTGTAATTATACAACACGCTACTGAAGTGAAACTTCTTCAAATACACAAACATACCGGATAGGGGTTAAGCAATTGGTTTAATGGTATTATTTGTACACTATGAATATAATTTTTACACTATACATGCCGGAGTTGCCTGTAGCGAACGTTGCATTGAAGCGCTCTCACGGCTCAAGCAATCCCCACTACGAACTCGACTACGTGGCCGAGTAGAGGGGGAACATCCGTTGCATGATTTCGTTACATAGCAACTCGCATGAAACGAACTTACCCTACCGTGCGTAAAGACGTTCCACTTCAAAAATATTCGTCGTTTTACATCTTCTGTTGGATTTTTTTTTTAAAATTTCAAATAACTCTTTCTTTACTTTATCGTACTTAAATACAAAAGATTATAACAAATTGACATAAGTACTGTGACTTAATAAACTAAAAACTCATCAGTGATACGAGTAGAACCCAGAGTTTGATGAGAGTAAATAGTGTGAACGATATCACTATAAAAAAAAAATCCGCAGCTGCAGCCTCTCACCACGCGATCTTAGCGCTGTTTCGTGACAGAAAAAATCGTAACACCCCGTCTCTATAAAGAAGTTTCACTTCAAAAGTGTATTTTAATTAATATTAATTTGCATACTTAACTAGGCAATATTCTCAATCTGGTCACGATGTCCAGTTACCGAAAAGAAATAATGATCAATGCGGCTGGATCGGAATTGGTACAAAGAGTTGTGACACATCCTTCATTCAAGAACGTGATCAATTCAAACGAAACGTTCGATTTGATTGTACTTGAGAGATTTATGAATGAAGCATTATTAGGACTTTCACATCGATTCAATGCTCCTTACATAGTACTTAGTTCGACTGGATATTCGAGAAGGACGAATGAAGTGGTTGGTAATCCTGGATCTACTGCTTACACCCCTGATTTATATTTACACTACGGCTACAACATGACATTATGGCAAAGATTCCACAACACATTCTTTTATTGTTTTGCAATGTTACATAAACATCTTGTCGTACTTCCGAAACATAGAAACATCCTAAAGGAGACATTTCCGGATGCCCCTTCATTGGAGGATTTGTTTTACAACACGTCTTTAATCCTACTGAATGCCCATGTCAGTGTGAAATATGCGGTTCCATCTGTTCCAAATATGATTGACATCGGGGGATTTCATGTTAGTCCTCCGAAACCATTATCCGAAGAACTTAAAAAGTATATGGATGATGCCTCCGATGGTGTTATTTATTTCAGCTTAGGGTCAATATTTCTGTCGAAAGATATGGCACCAGAAATAAGAAATACTATTTTACGGGTATTTTCGAAACTTAAACAGAAAGTTGTTTGGAAATGGGAAGACGAAAATAGTACATTTTCCAAACCACCTAATGTGAGATTTGAAAAATGGGTTTCACAGCAAGATATATTAGGTAAATACAGGCCTGACGCTGGAAGCTGGCGGAAATTTTAAAATGGCGTGGATGCGCGGTGGCAAAAGTAGGCAGTTTTAGGTATAAAGATTGCAGCCCTTATTCTTCAGTATTCCTATCAGGGGCGTAAATTAAATATTTAAAAACAGGGATCAGTGAGCAAGTAATAGACAGACTGTCCTATCTGTATTAATACTATAATTTACGCCTACTGAAAGCTTATTTGTGTATCGGTTCCAAGTGACTTACCCAAATAGGTCATAAATGGGCAAGTACCTGTGCGACCGCTCGCCAGCTTCCTTCGTCAGACCTATACATACATATACCCCATAAGATGAATTAGGCTTACCTTACACCTATTTGTAGTAGCATTTATATTACTAAATGCTAAGTACAGTGGATTTCGGGTATAACGACGACAAAGGGACCACTATAATTTCATCGTTACATCCGGAAGTCATTACAGGCAGACGTAAAGAGATACAGATACGCATGTATAGTTTTCACCATTTTTCAGTTCCTAAACGATTTCCGCATTTTTTTAATAGTAAATGTTCATCTAGGAGTCATACTTATTCAAAAGTCTACTAAACACAGTTGCTACTCAGAATATCATTTTGTAACTGAACCATTTTAACGTGCACTCTTTATCTACCTACCTGGCTAATATCTATAAACAAACGGTAAAGGTCACCACACTTGCTGACTATCTACACAGATGTAATCAAAAGTTAAGAAAGCTCTTTATGTCTTTGGCGGCCGACTCCGGGCGCTATATCTGCATAGAATTACGAGAGATTTGTTACAAACGATTCATTAAAAAACAGTCGCTACACCCGAATTCGGCGTTACATCCGAAGTCTCTATAGCCACATGAATTTTATATTTAAGTATGCTTTAAATTCAAGGGACTTAGATTTAACCGTCAACACTCTGCATTAATTAGTTAAGTTTGATGATTTGAACGTTGGTGAAAACATTTTTGTACAATAAATAAAAACAGATTTTTGCGGAAATCGTCTAACTTCCATAAAGAATTTGCTCTTTAAAAGTAGTTTGTTTATATTTTAGCACATCCAAATTTAAAATTATTTATTACTCATGGAGGTTTACTTAGTAACATTGAAGCAATTTACCATGGTGTACCCCTTCTGGTCATACCAATCTTTGCGGAGCAGTTTATGAACGCTGCAGATATTGAATCGTTGGGCTATGGTTTAAAACTTTACTATGCGGATATAACTGAGGAGAACTTCAGTTATCTTGTAAATGAATTATTGAATAATACAAGGTAAGTAGACTTTTACAGTACGCACATAATAGAAGCAGCAAGTGTAAAATGATAAAAATTCAGAAATTAATCATATAGTACCTACTTAGTTGTATTACCAAACATCAGTATTGATAGAAATTTATAAAACTTGATCCTGGAGCTTTTAATAAATAATTTTTTGTACGAACGTGAGAAAGAATAAAAAAAGGCAACTTGCAACAATAAAGCAAACAAACAAAGTCTACAAGCATTAAGTCTGTACTTGAGTAAAAAAAAATGTTTTATGAATTACACTACAGTTCTCTTTTTCCATGAAAGTATTCATTAAGAAAGCACTATTTTTACAATTAAAAACTTCGAAGTTAGCTGAAACCTTCGTTTTTAAGTTGAAAAATGCTTCGAAAAGATTGTTGTACTTATTATTTATTCAAATCGACCTAAAGAACTCCTTTATATTTTTAACTTTATTAAATATGTAGATTTCAATTCAAAACACCAAAGTACTTATTTTACTTGCCGCAGATACAAAGAAAACATAAAACTTCGATCAAAAATTCTCCACGACCAAGAGACAAAACCCATGGACAGAGCTTTATGGTGGATTGAGTATGTTATTAGGCATAAAGGGGCGCCACATTTGAAATCTGTTACCCTAAATTTAAAATGGTATCAATATTTTCTGTTGGACGTTCTTGCGCTTGCTATTGTTATAATTGTATTTACAGTTGCTGTTACAGTAATATGTCTAAAAAGAATGTTTATAAAAAGACAAAAACCGAAAACTGATTGAAAAGCAGATACTTATAAGTACACAGTTTAATATTCCTTTTTGTTTGCGATTACCGACTGACAGATTTTTCTGAGGATTAATTTGAGAATATTCTAATGAAGCTAAAATTTGACCTCTTGTAATGAAGGCTATTGTTTTTATTTTAGTAGAGCAAGAAAAATTCATTGATTCTTTCAATTGAGAACATGACTTTATTTAAATACAAGGTTTAGTTTTACGATATCAAAAATAAATAAGTGTAACTGTGTTATTTATTTTACGTTTGTTATATGTATATTCCATACAGTGAAATAGTTATAATACCTACACAATTTTTGTTCTACTTTTTATCGAATGCATAGCCATGAAATGTAGTTATAACGCAGCAAGACATAAATATTGTTTACATTATTATTAAACAAATAAAATTTAATTATACTCTTTAACTTTCTACTTTAATATTCAATTTAGATGTCATTATTCATTGGGGGGTACTTTTTCTAATCATTGACCAGAATAGGTTAAGTTTACCAATGAAAGAGATCCGCGGTCATCGCTAGTAAATATCATACTTAACACCCTAACAAAAATGAAATTTAATTACCGGTAATATTAGTTGGAATTTAGACACAGCTATAATGCTGTCCCGAGTAAAAATTATTCTTTTCAATTTCACTCTACCGAATTACGACCAAACTAGCTCCATTTTGAATAAGTACATTTAGGGATTGACCGAAAAGCGTTGGTCAATGACCAGCGATAGACCAGTTATTCCGTGGAGAAACTATACATATAGGCCTTTAACTACAACATATATGTACACAATACATTTGAAAAAAATCGTAATCGTAATCTTCGTAATGCATCCATTCATACATACATACATACATAGATAGTTGGGGTACCTGTATGCAGTTGCGTCTCCTCATCATCAAATAAATTTCAAGAGACCTCTCAGACCACCGGCCTTTTATTTTGGTTGGAATGTCCGCTGCGGCAATACAATAAATTGACTAATTAAAAAAAACAACACTAAGTTACCGTCATATACCACAAAGACTAATGGAGTAAACGAGCATAGTCCCTTCTCTAAAATATTATCGGACAAGGTGCGTTTGCAGAACTAAATCACCGATTGTGTACGAATGAAGTATTGAAACAGTACCGCATTTAGTACGAAAACACTAAAAAGGCGCCGAAACAGCACTAAAGGGATGCTAAAATTTGAATGTATATATATATGTACTGTAATTAATACATTCTAATTAATGTTACATTGATTTTAATAAAAACTTAAACTATATTTTTATTTCTTAAACAATTACAAATTAATGCGGAACATTTGGGTGACGGATATGGAGGAAAATTTCGATTCAAATTAGGTGCAGAATTGGGGAAGGTTGGAGTTACATAATTATTATTAGGGTTGGGATCGGGCCTGTGAATCAAAAGGGCTTCTGACGATGACGATGAAGATGATGCTGATGATGATAGAGATAGTTTTGACGGATAAATTGGTATTAATTAATCAATATTTTCATTTTTATTTATGGTAAATTTTGGTGCTGTGCGTTTGAGGGCTCTTTCGGATCTTTTTTAATGTGGTGCTGGTTTCGAGCTGTTTTAGAGTTTCAAACGGTAGTATTTTGGCTGTAATTTTAGAACTTACATTTTCGTCTAATTTCTAGGAACTACTTCGGTGGTAATTTAGGTCATTTCAGATATTTGGCGTCGATTTGGTGGTGTTATAATTCTTTTTACTTTTACTCGGGGTAATATTTGTTTTTCAGGCCTCTTCGATAGATAAAATAATAATTCCACATTCACGTCAATTTTAATTTAAAAACAGTAATAAAAAAAAACAATTACATTGCGATTATTCTACAGTAAATACATTACGTAACATATAAGTATATGCATACTCATATCTTGCTTTTGAATAAAGTTTCATTATTTTTAATCATGCTTGTAAGTTCGATTTCGTTCATAAATAACAGATGTAAATCCAGTTTGAAATACATGTTAATAAATGCCGTATTTAAGAATTTAAATAGTTTAAAAACTTCATAAAATAACTACACACAAGTTCAAAAACTGCCGCAAAGATGAATACAGTCCAAAATTAATCGTAGGAATTGCTGTGTCACAGACCGATGCTCCCTCCTCTACTTCAATTGCTTTAAATATATCGTAAAACACACTAGCAGTTCATGGTTCCAGCTGATCGGTTTAAATAAACCATCATAGTTGTTTAAAGATGAAATCGTGCGGGCTTAGGCTGTGTTTATTATTGACTTTGACTTTAACTTTGTTTGATTACGTGACATGTGCAAAAATCCTAGCCGTTTTTCATGCACCGAGTTTTAGTCATTATATTTTGGGTGCAAAACTACTCAGGGCTGTTGCGGAAAAGGGACATCACGTAACCATGATTAGTCCGTTCCCATTAAAAGATCCTCCAAAAACATGGAGAGATATCGTACTTGAAGATTATGCAAAAGGGTTTAACTTTGGTATGTAAAATATACCCTTATAGACGTCGTTCTTCACAAATTTTAACCCATAGGTATAGACAAATTTCTTTTTATGTTTCATTTTTACCATGGTTGACGCCTAATTTATTTTAATCATGAAATTTTATCTGTAGTGAAATAGTTTTTCTTAAAATCACAACGCAGCTGTTTCAGTTAAAAAGAAAACAAATTTTATTAGTATGAATTAAATACAGTTTCCAGAATCTTAAATCTTAAATCACAAACCAAAAAGGGGCATACTCAAAAGACGTTGTCAATCTATTACAAAAGATAACCCTAGGAGGGTAAATTAAATTACACATATTTCCAAATAATTTGTTCTTTTTTCTTGCACAAAAAATGTTTTAGTTAGAAACAGAAAGACACTTTTGTCGCTTTTTAAGAGTATTTTAACATCAGAATTAATCTTAAAACTTANCCTACGATTAAAAAGCACCAAGCCCTAATGGTATTAAAATTATTACTTTCGCTTTTGAATTCAAGAAAACTTCGAAAAGAACTATAAAACTATTATTCAAATTGCATCAGAAAACTTCGTTTGATTGTAATTAACTTACAAATAAATTTTATTTGTTACAGATACAAGGAAAACGTAAAACTTCGATCTAAGCTTTTCCATGATCAAGAGACAAAACCTATCGACAGAGCCTTATGGTGGATTGAGTATGTTATTAGATATAAGGGGGCGCCACATTTGAAATCTGTTACCTTAAATTTAAAATGGTATCAGTATTTTCTATTAGACGTTTTAGCGCTGGCTATTATTTTAATTTTATTTATAGTTGTACTTATAGTAGTATGTCTGAAACAATTTTGTAAAAACAGAGGAAAATCAAAAATTGATTAAAAAGCGCTGCAATTTGCTTTTCTGTATCAGACGGTAACGATTTATTTGGTAACCAAAAAAGTCGTCATATACATATACACCTTTGGTAGTAAAAATAATAACTATTTTGTTTCTCACTACAAGTACCTACATATATTCAGAAAACTGTTGTTATATATATATGTTACTCTTTGAGTATAAGTGTGAAACTATTTTAAATAATAAAAAAACAAACGTTTTAAATGTATTTGTTTATATTTCAGTATTCGGTGTCTTTTTTGGTTCAAAAGTAACAAATGAATGTATAAACACAAAATACTTACGAAGTAACTTACCAATCTGTTTCCTCATCTGTAATGATTAGAGGTATATTTCTCTGTTTTCCAAATGTAATACCTATATTAAAATTTTCATTAAAACTATGTGCAAATGTATGTAAATTTTATATTTCTCTATTAAAACTACTTAAATGTTTGTTTATTTAATCTTTAAACCAGACTGTCCTAATTATCCTCTTTAAAACAAAAAATCGAATCAGCTGATGCAAATTTGAATGACCTTTAGATCGAACTTATTGAGAAGATTATTACGGTGCCTGCTTCGGTTTGTATCGATTTACAGATTACAGAGAAGCTTTTCAATTTATATTTACAATAAAAACATATTCAGAACTAGACTGGATGCCGCTACGGATTTTCGAATTCAATTGTCGGACATTAAACCTAATTTTAATACTATTATAAGTAAAAATGTGTACATTAAATACGTGCAATAAAGATCTTGAATTCAAAATTTAAGTTGAAGGTTACAATTTGTACAGGGGTCTTAGATATACAACTATGATCAAGTTTCTTTTTTGTCAAGATGGGATTCCGCCCAAAAAGGGGTGGGTTAGAAGGGGTTCCATAGCAAAATAAAATTAGGAACCGCTGTTCTAAACTATATTACGGTCAAACAAATAGACTTTGTGAAAATTATTACAAAAATCATACCATTCCTATATAAAACCGCCTTTTTGGAGCATTCCTTTGTACTCCTGCTTAGAAACAGGGCTATGAATTCCTTATCTGACTTTGAGAATAATTTATTTGTTAATAATTACAATCTCACAAAAGTAATCTTGCCTTTTTTCTTATTTTTAATACCTTCAATTTTTTAAATTATGGTTCATCTTTGTTTTTGAATTACTACATTTAATCCTATTGTAAACGTTTAGTATTAATTACACCACGCGTTTTTTAACTTTCATCTATTTATCATTTTATCTAAACAATCCTGCTATCTTTTTAATTGAAGTGCATTTTTAATTATTTGTTCTGTTTATTATTTTATCTGTAGGTATGTGCGTTTTTGTGTATTAATATCTCCTTTGAAAATTAATGTAGTTTTGTATGTACACGCCGAATTATTTAGAAGTACTTCCAACTTTAAAAATCGAGTAAGTTAATAGATTACAAAGTTTTCTATTTACGACGTTTGTAGTCTTAAAACTCCCCCCTCCATCTGGGGTGAAACGTCGGTATAACTTTGTAATTAATAAAAATCTTCTATCAGTTCTCTGTTAGTCATTATTTGTTAATGGTTAATTGAAATAAAATAGAATTACAAACTACTTTTTTGTTCATAGTTTTCAAGAGATGGCACCAATCAAGAATTACTGCATATAACAGATAAAATAACCCTATGCTCGGTTACCAAGTCGCCATTACTGTATGAACGAGAGAGAAGATGGGTGTAATTGGACAGTTCCTACTCGACAACGCTACTGTATTATAGGATAGGATGCTGTTCCAGGCATTTATTCTCCAAAGATATAGCGGATCAGTTTAATCAAAGTATAGCACCTTACTAATTTAAAAATGAAAGTGTTTTGGTTTATATTGTGTTTATTATTGACATTTTTTGATTACGCGATTGGTGCAAAAATCCTTGCCGTTTTTCATGCACCGAGTTTTAGTCATTACATTTTAGGTGTAAAGTTACTCAGAGCTGTTGCAGAAAAGGGACATCATGTCACCATGATTAGTCCGTTTCCACTAAAAAACCCGCCAAAAACATGGAGAGATATCGTACTTGAAGATCTTACAAAAGGATTTAGTTTTGGTATGTAAAAAAAGGTTCTTATAAATGACATTCTTCAGAAGTATTAACACATAAGAATAATTATAAAAGTAATGTATCACATCAAATGATTTTGGTATCGTTCAAAATATTTTTGTTTCATTTTTACCGTGGTTGACGCCTATTTTATAATAATTCTATAAAATTGACGACAGAAATCATACGATACAGTTAGGAGAGTTATCTATATAAATCCGTTCAAATCGGGGAACTGGAAGTCCAAATCTTAAATATATACCTTCTTCATCATTAATGTTTTTTGACAAAAGAAGTTGCACCGCCAAATCATACCTGTATTAGGCCCAGGAACACACATTTAATTTTTTGCGTAAAGTTCTGTTCCTAGATGATCAGCATTGTTCAGGTGATGTGTATAATCGTATTTTTGAAGGTGCTGGACGAATAATAATTGATTCAAAAGTATAAGAAATGATATAACTGCTTCATTCGCCCCTATATCACTCTAAATTACAGCATTGATGGCAAAAGTTTGATCTTGTGAAGTGCAAGTCTTCTTAGTAGGACGTTTGTTTAGCGGATGTATAATATGTTTGGCATTTTTTGTAAAACTACTAGGTCCATCTCTCTATTGTCTACCCTATTACATTCAAGGTTATTATTACACCCGAATTCGTACGTGTCGTATGGGAATTAATGTGATTTTTGGTAATAACATCCAAGAAACAATCGAAAGCCTTACTGCAGTACATATACCATTTTTCTAACCGGAGCCGTACCTAATATTTACGCAGTGTTGTCATAGTTTTGAAGATATTAGTTGTGGTCCAACTCTTCAAGTTGTCAATCCCTTGTCTCTACCCTATCATTAATCAAATTGCTTTTCTTAAAAACGCATTAAATTTTATTAGTGTAAGTTAAATACAGTTTTTTAAATATTAAAAGGCAGACCTAAAGGACCTTATTAATCTGCCATAAAAGCAAATTCTCAGAGAGTATATCATTTGTCAGAAATTGTTAGAACCAAGGAGAGATTTTTTCGCTTTTGTTGTAAATAGATGTGAATAGACATTAACTAAATTATTAACGTCTGCCATTTATATTGTAGGTTAGTTTCAAAATTATTATTTTTTTTATTTAACTTGCCTCGTGTCGCCCAGATAGTGAAAATTAAGGAAGATAATTTAAACAATACAACGGGCAACAAACCACATATCACGGACAATAAACCTAAAGCATATACGACAAATTACACGAGTCACTGATGAAAATACTATTCGAAACAAAACAGTTAGTCGCATAAATGAAATATTGAATTTACATTACTATGAGGTACCTATATCAAACCTTTTTTTAAAATTGAGCACACTCGTCAACTGGTACTATTTAATCAACATTTTCAGGATGCAATTCTAAAATTATATAAAAATGTACTAAACAGTTATACATTATTTAACACTGATTCATGAAAATGATATTCCTTTGGTACATTACAGTTCATGTTGTAATTATAAAAAAAAAATAATACAACGTGTAATTATACAACACGCTACTGAAGTGAAACTTCTTCAAATACACAAACATACCGGATAGGGGTTAAGCAATTGGTTTAATGGTATTATTTGTACACTATGAATATAATTTTTACACTATACATGCCGGAGTTGCCTGTAGCGAACGTTGCATTGAAGCGCTCTCACGGCTCAAGCAATCCCCACTACGAACTCGACTACGTGGCCGAGTAGAGGGGGAACATCCGTTGCATGATTTCGTTACATAGCAACTCGCATGAAACGAACTTACCCTACCGTGCGTAAAGACGTTCCACTTCAAAAATATTCGTCGTTTTACATCTTCTGTTGGATTTTTTTTTTAAAATTTCAAATAACTCTTTCTTTACTTTATCGTACTTAAATACAAAAGATTATAACAAATTGACATAAGTACTGTGACTTAATAAACTAAAAACTCATCAGTGATACGAGTAGAACCCAGAGTTTGATGAGAGTAAATAGTGTGAACGATATCACTATAAAAAAAAAATCCGCAGCTGCAGCCTCTCACCACGCGATCTTAGCGCTGTTTCGTGACAGAAAAAATCGTAACACCCCGTCTCTATAAAGAAGTTTCACTTCAAAAGTGTATTTTAATTAATATTAATTTGCATACTTAACTAGGCAATATTCTCAATCTGGTCACGATGTCCAGTTACCGAAAAGAAATAATGATCAATGCGGCTGGATCGGAATTGGTACAAAGAGTTGTGACACATCCTTCATTCAAGAACGTGATCAATTCAAACGAAACGTTCGATTTGATTGTACTTGAGAGATTTATGAATGAAGCATTATTAGGACTTTCACATCGATTCAATGCTCCTTACATAGTACTTAGTTCGACTGGATATTCGAGAAGGACGAATGAAGTGGTTGGTAATCCTGGATCTACTGCTTACACCCCTGATTTATATTTACACTACGGCTACAACATGACATTATGGCAAAGATTCCACAACACATTCTTTTATTGTTTTGCAATGTTACATAAACATCTTGTCGTACTTCCGAAACATAGAAACATCCTAAAGGAGACATTTCCGGATGCCCCTTCATTGGAGGATTTGTTTTACAACACGTCTTTAATCCTACTGAATGCCCATGTCAGTGTGAAATATGCGGTTCCATCTGTTCCAAATATGATTGACATCGGGGGATTTCATGTTAGTCCTCCGAAACCATTATCCGAAGAACTTAAAAAGTATATGGATGATGCCTCCGATGGTGTTATTTATTTCAGCTTAGGGTCAATATTTCTGTCGAAAGATATGGCACCAGAAATAAGAAATACTATTTTACGGGTATTTTCGAAACTTAAACAGAAAGTTGTTTGGAAATGGGAAGACGAAAATAGTACATTTTCCAAACCACCTAATGTGAGATTTGAAAAATGGGTTTCACAGCAAGATATATTAGGTAAATACAGGCCTGACGCTGGAAGCTGGCGGAAATTTTAAAATGGCGTGGATGCGCGGTGGCAAAAGTAGGCAGTTTTAGGTATAAAGATTGCAGCCCTTATTCTTCAGTATTCCTATCAGGGGCGTAAATTAAATATTTAAAAACAGGGATCAGTGAGCAAGTAATAGACAGACTGTCCTATCTGTATTAATACTATAATTTACGCCTACTGAAAGCTTATTTGTGTATCGGTTCCAAGTGACTTACCCAAATAGGTCATAAATGGGCAAGTACCTGCGCGACCGCTCGCCAGCTTCCTTCGTCAGANCGCAGCTGTTTCAGTTAAAAAGAAAACAAATTTTATTAGTATGAATTAAATACAGTTTCCAGAATCTTAAATCTTAAATCACAAACCAAAAAGGGGCATACTCAAAAGACGTTGTCAATCTATTACAAAAGATAACCCTAGGAGGGTAAATTAAATTACACATATTTCCAAATAATTTGTTCTTTTTTCTTGCACAAAAAATGTTTTAGTTAGAAACAGAAAGACACTTTTGTCGCTTTTTAAGAGTATTTTAACATCAGAATTAATCTTAAAACTTATAAGAAGTTTAAACAAATTTTTTGTTATTTTACTTGTCTCGTGGCCAGACATTAAAATTGAAGATGATAATTTAAAAATATACTAAGGGCAACAAAACATAATCTCTAAAACATGTACAATAAATTACACGTGTTACTGACGCATTACTAAACACAAAGTTAGTCATATGATATATGAAATATTAAATTTACATCTCTATACATAATAGATATGTTAAATCTTCCTTTAAAGTTGAGCACGCTCGCCTTGTATTTTTTAATTAACATTTTAAATATATAATACGAATTAGAAACGTATTAAACCAGTAATGTATTATTTAACCTAATCCATGAATTATAATCTTTAATGCTCGTCTTTTCTTTTTCTATTGGACAATTTCGATTTTTTAGACTTTAAAATTGTTAAAATGTTTATGTAAAAGGTATACCTTCGTGTACATTACTTCAAATTTCTACTTACTTCTTTCAATAACAATTTTTTTTACACCAATTTCATTAAAAGTTCAAGTTACTCTTTTAAGTAATATTGTTACGTGTTTTCGTTACGTTTTCACTCTATTTCTGTTGGTCATTCTGAATTTATTAAAATTTCAATTTCGTAGCTAATTAAATTTTTTTTATTGTGTTCGTAATAATTGAAAATTTTCGGTTACATTCCTGGATTATTATTACTGTTGTTTTCGTCTTCTTTTTGGTTTGGTTGAATTGCCAACTAGTCGGTACCCTATTGTATCCGAAAAAAGTGGTGCATCAACCTACCACATCTACATAAACCGAATACCTACCTTATATATAATTTTAATAAATAAATCTAATCTTAGCTTAAATTTATAATTTGTTAGTACCCTACTGATTTCTTATAGTTACATATGAATTAATTGATTCTATACAATTGGAAATGCAATTGGAACATTACATTATAATATTTATCCAAACATTATTCATAAGAGTATAAAAGAACAAGTATTAATATAATAACAAATAGTAAAACACAGTACTAAATTAGAAACAACACGATAGTATAGATAGAACAATAAATATTACAAATAGTTAAAAAACACTTTAAACTTTAATACTTCATAATTAAGAATGAGTACATAATTGATAAATTATTAATAAAAAAAGTATCCAGGTAAGATTAATTTATTTAATTAGGAAATCTTCTCAATCTGGCCACGATGTCCGGCTACCGTAAAGAAATAACGGTCAATGAAGTCGGATGTGAACTGATACGAAGAGTTGCAACGCACCCATCCTTCATAGGCGTGATAAATTCAAACGAAACGTTTGATTTGATTATAGTTGAGAGATTTATGAATGAAGCCATATTAGGGCTGTCACATCGATTCAGTGCTCCTTATATTGTGTTTAGTACGATCGGATATTCGAGATGGACAAATGACATGGTTGGCAATCCTGGGTCTACCGCTTACATTCCTGATTTATATTTACACTACGGCAACAACATGACATTATGGCAAAGATTCCACAACACATTCTTTTATTGTTTTGCCAATTTGTACAGACATTTCTTCACACTTCCGAAACAGAGAAGCATCCTGAAGGAAACATTTCCATATGCCCCCCCACTAGAGGATTTATATTATAATGCGTCTCTAATCTTAATGAATACCCATGTCAGTATCAAATATGCGGTACCATCAGTTCCAAACATGATCGACATCGGCGGATTTCATGTTAGCCCTCCAAAACCATTACCCAAAGACCTGAAGCAGTATATGGATGATGCCTCCAATGGTGTTATTTATTTTAGTTTAGGATCAATATTTCTGTCGAAAGATATGACACCAGAAATAAGAGATATTATATTACGGGTATTTTCAAAATTTAAACAAAGAGTGGTTTGGAAATGGGAAGACGACATCACATTTTCCTCACCATCTAATGTGAGGTTTGAAAAGTGGATTTCACAACAGGACATATTAGGTACAAAAATATATCTTTTAAATATGAGGAATAAAATTAAATAATGTTCAAGGCAGTTAAGGGTTAGAAGGTTTTTGTTTATGAAGAATCAACACCCCTTAAATGCCTTGAACTTTATTTAATATTATCCAAAGTAAGGGATGAAACTTGAAGATTATGCAAAAGGGTTTAACTTTGGTATGTAAAATATACCCTTATAGACGTCGTTCTTCACAAATTTTAACCCATAGGTATAGACAANGGACATATTAGGTACAAAAATATATCTTTTAAATATGAGGAATAAAATTAAATAATGTTCAAGGCAGTTAAGGGTTAGAAGGTTTTTGTTTATGAAGAATCAACACCCCTTAAATGCCTTGAACTTTATTTAATATTATCCAAAGTAAGGGATGAAACTGAGAATATGAGGAATAAATATTAACACCTATTTGAAGTAGTATTTACATTACAAAGTTCTCACCAAGAATTGAAATTATCATACGCTAATTCATTGGTTACCATCAGCATTCTGTATTGATTAGTTGCGTTGATGTTGATGAAAATATTTATACACAAATAAAAAGGAATTTTGTGGAAAGCATGTAACTTGTATAAAGGGTCTCTTTGATTAAACGAATTTCACTTTTAGCGTGTCCAAATTTAATATTATTTATTACTTTAAGTTATATTCCTGACCGTTAGTGTTAAATTATGTAGTTTTTTCCAGGTTGACGGTCAAATAATTACACAACTATATGTTTATTGTAACGTTTCGGTTTATTTAACCATCTTCAAACTGAAAAAATTTTGGTTTTTACATTTAGTCCTATTAGTTACGTGTTATACATTTGTTTGTAAAGTATAAATATAATTAATCGTAAGAGAACATAGGTGTGTTACTACTTATACACCGATATTAACTTACTTTTAAACTTTGCATCAAGTTTAACTACAAGAAAAAAATTAAAAATGCCTTATTAAGCAATGAATGTGAACTCTTTAGTTATCACTAACACTTTATATTGAATAATGTTAATGAAAACATTTTTGTACTATAAATGAAAAATAGATTTTTTCGGAAATCAGTTTATAAAAAAAGGAAAGGTAAAATTAATTTCTTTTTTAGCTCATCCAAATTTAAAGTTATTTATTACTCATGGAGGTTTACTTAGCACCATAGAAGCAATTTACCATGGTGTACCTCTCCTGGCCATACCAATCTTTGCGGAGCAATTCATGAACGCTGCAGAAATTGAATCACTGGGCTATGGTTTAAAACTTTATTACACAGATATAACTGAGGAGAACTTTAGCCATCTTGTCAATGAATTATTAAATAATGCAAGGTAAATGTACTTTGAAAAGCATGTAGACACATAATGAAAGCTAAAGGTATTGCATCTATTTTTGACGTGACGTCTTATAATTCGATGGAGCCTGCGCGCACGAAAAAGCAGGACTCATGCGGCGTTACCTCGCTCTGGGGCGTTCCATTTAAGGCTTGAAGTGCAAGCGAGAGCGCGGAACGAGCGACAAAGAGGCACAATCGGCCTCCGCGTTCGGCAGCGTTCGACATCTGTCTCTNAGTGCCTTCTTAAGGTGGAAAATTAACAAATACATAATCCTTATATATTAACTTTATTTGTTTCTTTTCCAAATATAATATTTTAAAATTTACACTGAAACAAAATATTCTTTTGTAAATATTTCAGGTGTATATATTTTATATTTCTGTAATTAATTATTAAATGTAACTATTAAAATGTTCCTTTTTTTTTATATTTTTACCAGTTTTTCCCATGTACTCTTCCCAGTATAATCAGTAAACAATTGATTTTGAATCTTTATTTAGCACTGTGTAGTGAAATGACTACTGTGGATGGATTAAATATAATTTGCAACTTAAAACGTTTGCTTCTATAAAATTATAGAACTGAAGGTTAAAAGCTTCGTCTATTCATTTTGGAAACTGTTTATTTATACATATGTAGAAGGCGATTTTTTTCTCTAACAATAAGTGAAATTAAGTGGCCATAGGTATCAAACCCAAAATTTGAAACCTGAAATTTGTGACTTCCAAGGAATTTTACGTAAGGATGTTTCTAATTAAGAAAGTATAACATATTGATTTTAACAACATTTTTGCATTTTGTTATCAGAAATATAGCTGTGCGGTTTAATTTATGAAAATATAAATCTGTTACTTAATGAAGTTGTTTATGCTTAATTAATTTAAATTAATTGGAATAAATAAAGAGAAGAAAGAAAGAAAAATTAGATAAGAATAGTACTTTTAATGATTGTTTACTATTATACCTAATTAAAATATATAATCTAAATTCTATTGAACTCGAAATAAAAAATAAATAAAGACCACAAAGGAATCATTTTAGTACACATTTAACTGACATTTGTCTCGAAAATAAACAAATATGTACAGGTTGATTCACTTTACTTTCCAACCCCACTCTCCGCCATTATTTTAAAAGATGTTTCTTATTGACTTGTATAGAGTCCTCTGTTCTCCTAATCTTTCTAATATCTATCCATTTCTAACTTTCTCTATCCACGTTATCCTCATCATTCGCCTGTAACACCACATTTAGAATGCTTCTAACCTTTTCTTTTTACAATACAGCGCCGTGCTCCAAACACACACCTTTAACAACCTTTTCCGAATTTCTAAATTAACCGTTCGCGAGCATAGAAGTGACTTCTTCTTTTTAAGGTGACTCGACCTTGCGTTATTCTCTGCTTTATATCCCTACTACTCTATCCGTCCTGACTTATCTGACTTCCTAGATACCTAAAATCGGTCACTTCTTCTAATTTTTCGTCTCCTATCTTTATATTCGCTTTTTCCCTAAACTCAAAAAAATTCTTTATGAAAAATTATCACAACGTTGTAGAGGTTGTTTTGTAGAAAATGCAACTCAAATTTGTAGTAAGGTTAACTAACGGTAAACTTAAATTTGGGTATAACATTGTAGTGGTAAATTGTAGGAGAAATATCGACAGGGGCTCAGACAAATTCCTTACAATTTCAGTGAAATATTTACTATAACGTGTNCAATTGTAGAAGTTTGTTCTGCAGTTTTATCTGAGGGCAGATACAAAAGAATTCGCGTAGAAATATTTACATAGATACCGAGACACACAGAAATATAATACCAAAAAATATTATAGCAGGTAATGCCTTAATTTTTTTATTTTAACTTGGAACATTTAGCGTAATCCGCCGTAATTTCTTTTAATTTTCATTGATCATTTGTTAAGTGTAATATTGTTAGGAATCGTAGTTAAACTGAATGACTTTTAAACATTGCCAAGATTTTTTCTGTTTACTTTGAAGAGACGTAACTGTTATTGTACATCAATTAATAAGCATATGCAACAGTTACCATGAAATTAAACGCAGTAGCCAACCGACATTACAAAGAAGTGGTAAAAGATCTTCCATCTTAAAAGCATTGAGCAACGCAGACTCTACGAAATAATTAAGTAATTACAAGTACCTAGTGCTAGTAAAGACCTTTGAACAAAACAAATATGTGTACGTTTCACTAAAGTATCAATATTATAATATTTAACACAAAATATAAATCACTACAAACAACATCACGTACCTCTAAAGTGAATATGAAGGTCAATTTGAACTCGTCTCAAATTAGTCAACTAGCAGAATTACTTACTTAAAAACTGACAATGAATGGCGAATTTGAAAGGTTTGCATTGCGGTGAGCTATTATATAGAAATAGACGGCTAGATTAATATAAAGTTACGAAGGCCGATTCTTTTACAGTTCAGTTACAATGACGCTGTTTGGATTCGCATTTGAAAACATTAATTTGGCACTACCACAGCATCACAATAAACCAACTCGTACACGCTGAGCAAATAGACAAACGAATAGAATAAATGTTGACAATATAAAACAAAAGAATGAGATGTTGTGATAATATGTTATTAAGAATTTGGTTCAACGAATGGAAAAGATGTTAGTGAGATTTTTTCTAGTTCTAGTAGCCTGTTGTTTTGTGCGTAACGGGTGCGGTTTGAATATTCTGGGTGTTTTTCCGGCACATGGATACAGTCAGTACCTGATCGGATCGTCACTTATGACAGAGCTGGCAAGAAGGGGACATAATGTTACGGTCATCGCACCTCATCGACAAAATCAAGCGATACAAAATTACTCTGAAATATATGTAGAAGGATTGGAAAATTTTGAGGCCGGTATGTATTTACCTAAATAAAACCGCTTTTTATACGTATAACAAAACTTAATTTGGTTTGCTGCAAAAAAGTATAAATTTAATTTAGTAGATCATATACGAGAGAGTGTACAATAAGAGGCATATGACTGTCTCTGAGGACACTGCAACAGTAACAGGAAGATATAACGACTTAGAGCGTTTTCAAACGAGCGCTTTCTGAAGCGATTTTTTGAAATCCACTGTTTTTAATTGATACTTTCACACGAGAGAAGCGCTTCAAAAACGTAGCCTTATAGTCACTGAACTCTAGCGTCATTCGCTTGAATCGCGCGGCTAAATAGTTGTGCCCTCGTTGCGCTTTACTAAGAAATATATTTACTTAAGTTACCCCTTCCATACTTTTAGTAGAGCGAAAGACCGATGATAGACAATGTCGACGACGTAAATTTTATAATTTCAAAGACTGCATTTGGAATAGCTACAGTGCAGACTGTATGAGGACGAGGAATGACTATTTTGCATTTCGATGTAAATCTTGGAAAGATGTATGGAAATCCTTTTATCAATCAATTGCTGTTGTAAGGATCGACCTAATATTTCCGATTCTTTATATTCTTCTTCTTTTCTTTAATTTATCAAAAGCGCTAATAAAGTAAGCTCCTCCTCGTCTTTCTTCTGCGACTTCATTTTAATAACTGTTTTTTTTTTAAATTTGAAATAGATTAGTTACTACATCGGGTACAATATCGAAGTGCTGCAAAAAAAACGCTCTTTATGCATATACGAACTAGCAACTATCGCGCTACTGTAGCGCAACGGAAGCGCTACAAAATGTAGCTCGTGTGAAAAGGCTCTTAGAGTACGTTAGAAAACGTTACAGCCATATATACTTATCACAGTTTTCACAATAATACGAAATAAGTGATAAGGAAATGTGTTCTAAAAAATGACAGTGAGTAGACATCTGACTGTATCTCCCTAAGGCAGTGGTTTCCAACCCTTTTGTACCTGCGCCCCCCCCTTTAAAAAAAACAATTGTTGCGCCCCCTTAATATTTCTAACAATCTAATTTCATAAATACTCAACTGATATTATAATTTATTTAATGGGCTACAAAATAATATACAATATTATGTAAAAATATACATAAAATGGATGGATGTTTTTGCATTTGTACCCGAAAAATTCGCAGCGGGGATTGTGGATTACGTATACCTATTTTGCTGATTCATTTTTTTGACACCTATTTGACTTTTTTGGTTTGTGTTCGAAAATGATATTTTGGAANACAATCTAATTTCATAAATACTCAACTGATATTATAATTTATTTAATGGGCTACAAAATAATATACAATATTATGTAAAAATATACATAAAAAAATAATTATTTATTATAAGAAATAATAATTTTAAATGTAATAAAAACAAATCTTACAAAAAAAGGAAATGTAATTAATGGAACATCAACTTTTTTGGTTTGTATTCGTAAATGATATTTCGGAAACAGCTGCATGCCCCCTTGCAACAGTCTCGCGCCGCCCTAGGGGGGCGCGCCCCACAGGTTGGAGACCACCAAGATATTACCGGAAACAATCAATGAAGAAATATTCATTTCTTTTGATAAATTGTGCGTTTAAAAATTAAAAATTGTATGCATGTTTGCCTTAACAATAGAATGTGACAATATAGATAAGCATTTAACCATAAACAATAACTACGCATATCAAAAGTACGTCCTTGGTCACCTAATTATTGACTTTGACAATTGAATAATTCTGAAAGAAACATACTCTCCTCCGTTCTATAATAATTTTACGGTTCTAAAATGCTTTCGACAAACTGTCTTGCCATTTTAATTCTGTTTAATAAAATCCACGATTGCATTTAATGAATTTCACCACATTTAATTGTTCGTAATTTTTCTTTTTAGATTTAAACCTTTTCGATCTTGAGAAAGATTATACCATATGGAAAGTTTACTCTCTTTACCAATTAGGGTTGACTTTTACTGAACACACACTCGCAAATAAGGCTGTTCAACAATTTCTGGCGTCAAATCAATCTTTTGATTTGGTTATTTGCGAACAGTTCGCAACTGAAGCACTGTATGGCTTTGCGTGGCATTTCAATGCGCCTCTTGTGATGTTCTCCACAATAGGCCCATCCGAATGGATCAGTGATAAAGCTGGTTATCCACTTCCCTTTTCTTACGTTCCCCACGGGTTATCTAAATTCACCTCGCATATGAATTTCATACAAAGATTTGAAAATGTTTACGTACATATTTTTGATATTATATACAGAAATATGTTCGCATATCCGACACAAAATAAAGTAGCTCAAAAATACTTTTCTGGAATACCTCATTTAGACCTTATTATGTACAATGTGTCACTATTTCTTACCAATTCTCATGTTGCTATAACGGAACCTGTTCCGGTTACGCCTAATGTGATTGAGGTTGGAGGATTACAGATCTCTCATAGAAAGCTACCAAAGGATTTGCAAGATTTCCTGGATGGAGCTTCACACGGTTCCATTTACTTAAGTATGGGTAGCAATTTAAGAAGTAGGGATTTAACAAACGAACAAAAAATGGTTTTCGTCAACACATTCTCGAAACTAAAACAAAGGGTGCTGTGGAAGTATGAAGAAGATAAACTTCCATCAAAACAACCTTCGAATGTCATGATAAGGAAATGGCTACCACAGCAAGATGTTTTGGGTAATTGATTGATCTATAAAAATAAATAAATCAATTTCTTTTAATTGGTGTTTAAAATGTTTTGTATTTACTTCAGCACACCCAAACGTCAAGGCATTTATATCTCACGGAGGACTGTTAGGCAGTACAGAGGCAGCTTTTTCTGGGGTACCAATAATAGGAATCCCCATTTTTGGTGATCAAAAAATGAATGTAGCCAAATTAGTAACAAAGGGCACCACAATTCATGTACCATACAATAGTTTAAGTGAAGAGAGTCTGACAAATGCTTTAAATAAAATTCTCAATAATTCAAAGTAAGTTTGGTTGGAAGCTTGTTTGACACGATGAAACTAGTCGAACATGGACTTAAAAAAATAATAATATTTTTATAATACAGGCGCGCTGATGAGATCAAATATGTTCTAAATCGCGATTCGCGTCTAGCGGTTTCGATAAATTTCTGATCAAGATCTTAATTAACGTTCTTAATAATATTTTTGTTTGGGATAGTAATTGAGTCTTATTCGATTATTTTCGTAATTTTCAAATTATTTTCTTATTATTATTAATTAANTATTAATTAATATTATTTTTAATTAAATTGGGCTTTTTTAAATGAAACTAGTAGTTATTTCAACTTGTTATGTAGATACAATGATGCAGCTAAGAGATTATCGAGCATATTGAACGATCAGCAGACCAAGCCAATGGATAGGGCTATTTATTGGATAGAATATGTTCACAGACATCGAGGAGCACCTTTCTTGAAACCGGCATCGTTAGAATTGATGTGGTATCAATATTTTGCAGTTGATGTGTTATTAGCAACATGCACTTTGTTAAGCATTCCTATTGTAATATATTGTATCATTTCAAAATGTAAATATCGAATCAAAGACAAATTAGAATAAAACCTATTTATTAAAATTAAAATCGTAGTCTGTGGTCCTAAAATTATACAACCTTTTATACGCAGAAAATAACATTTAAGTCTACGTTATGCAAAACTGGTATAGGTACATTCACAGGTATAGTCTTTACATTACAAATTGGTGGTAGGTATTTTCTTGGAAGTATTTTATTAATGTTGTTAATTATAATAACAGCAGCGGCACATGTACCTTCCCAGTATATAGGGAAGTTATTGCAATGGGTCCGATTAAAAAACCCCGGTTTTCAACATATTTCAAATTTGATGGTAAGCATTTCATTACAATATAATTTGGAAAAGTGTGTGTGTGTGGGTACAGTCTTTGCGGTTCTACCCCGAATCCCCGTTGCGACAAGGCCCGAAGCACACAAACCATACGGTATCGCTACTACAGCGTCACAAACACTTCATACATGCATTCAGGAATCGCATCACATCACATGTCCTAGGATTCCATAGAAATAGAACTGGATAATTCTGAGATTTAGGATAAAGAAAAATATAGAGATGAAAATACCGTTCAGGCGCATATTTTTAGCATTTATTCATCCTATAAAATCCTACAAATGAGTCGGTAAACGCCATCTGTAGTACAATGCTACAATTTACGGATCAGTTTGAATCCAGGCGTATCTCACCACTACGTGAAAGGTACGTTACCATAATCTGCGACGCGCTGATGAGATCCAACAAGATCGAAATGACAGTTTCGACAGAATGCTGACCACTTCGAATTTCTTTAATGTATTCTGTCTCGTCATAGAAGATCAACTATTATTTTATAACTCATTTCCGTTGATGCGTCGCGTCGTACCTGTGCATTGCATTTTGATTTACCGCAACGGAATTGGCGCGGAATCACAACGTTAAGCCTGAGGTTCAGTACATTACATGCTAGCAAGTGTTTATAGTTTTGGGAACACCTAGAATAAATTCAGATAATTTTGCAAAGGACCAAAAGCGATGTAGAAGATATTGCCAATTTTTAACGACTTAACAAGGATTATTGATGAGCTATACTATATCCCCTATTACCGATAAAAATAATAATCTGCATGTATATTTGGTTTCATTTTTTAATGCGAGGATACGATAAGTAATATAATTTAATAATTTATACATAGAATTATTTTATCTGAAACTGAATAAATTGACAAACATATTTTATTCATGTGACTGTATAACACTTTACGGCAGGTACTAATGTTTGCCGATAAATGAGTAATGTTGTGCAATGCATATAATGTATTTTAGTATGAATGAACATGCAGGTAGAAAACAAGGTTTTTCGTTTACTCAGTACACTGAAGGTTAATTAGTGTTATTTACCTACCGATTTATTATTTGTTGTGTAGTGAATATAAATACTATACAGTGCGATGACACAAATTATACACAGATGATGTTGATTGTAAAATATATTTTATTTGCGTGCATCGACGTGTCAACTGGGTTCGCCTTGAACATTTTAGGAATTTTTCCGGCTCAAGGCTACAGTCAATACCTCCTTGGTGCATCGCTCATGAGAAAATTGGCCAGCAGGGGACACAAAGTAACGGTTATAGCTCCTCACCGACAAAATCAAGTTATAGACGGTTACTCAGAAGTCTACGTCGATGGCTTAGAAAATTTCGGAGCTGGTGCGTTTGTAGCGTATTTATTACCATAAATATTTTTTTGCCAATAAATATATATATACATATACGATTTAATTACTCAACCGATCATCACGAAATTTTGTACAGTTGGAGGAGTACTGTTCCCGAGGGATAAAAAAAAATTAGTTTTATGTGGTCGATTTCACGCCTCAGCTACTCAATCGATCATCACGAAATTTTGTACAGTTGGAGGAGTACTGTTCCCGAGGGATAAAAAAAAATTAGTTTTATGTGGTCGATTTCACTGCTTAACTACTCAATCGTTCATAATGAAATTATGTAGGCACATTCCCGAGATAAAAATGTTTAGTCTCTCAGAGTCTCTGAAAGCGAGACTCGAGTCTCCGTCTCTCATCGAGTCTCTCTGGTGTCGCTGACAGAGACTGTCAAAAAAACTGTTTAGCGTCTCTGAACGAGAGACTCGAATCGCTCATAGAGAGATCCTCATTTCGTATCCAGTCTCTGAATAAGAGACTCGAATTTCTGAACGAGAGACTCGAATCTTTCAATAAGTGGTGTCTCGATAGGCATGGTTAAAATTTTCGAAGTTCAACATATTTCAGAGATCCCAGTCTTTCTTCGAGAGGCTCGAATCTCTCAATTTTTCAGTTTTATTCATTCAGTCTCTCTGTGGAAGACTCGAATCTCTGAATTAACAATTTTATCGTTCGAGTTTCTCATACAGAGAATGTGAAATATCCATAAAAACACCTAAGCAATAACTGAGAGACTGTGAAAGACTATGAGAGGCGGTCTCAGAGACGCTGAAAGACTCTGAGAGACTGGAGAGAGACTGAAAATTATTGTCTAGGGTTGTCAGAAATACAGAAAAGGACATATGGTACCCTTTATCCAGAAAAAAGTACTGTTCCCGAGGGATAGAAAAAAATTAGTTTTAAGTAGTCGATTTCACGCCTTAACTACTTAACCGATCATTATGAAATTTTGTAGACAAATTGCCAGGGGTACAGAAAACGACATAGAGTACCTTTCGTCCCGATATAATTGATAATTTTCTGCCCCTTTTTATGAAATGCCAAATAAACAAACTAATATAAACAACATGCTACTGAACGCCATTCTGATATGCAAACCATTTAGAAATATATGTCAAGTTCCTTAATAAGGCTATCAATTTATCAAACTGAACCCGCGGCTTAGTTGCCTCTACGTTCAGTTCTACAAATTGACATCCTTAACGACCTTGTCGAACATCTTTGATGCCCGTAAATGCATCGAAGTATAAACTTATTCTTAAGTAATCGTTTTCGCTTAATAGTCGGAAAAGTTGCTTAACATCAAGTCGAAATTGTTCCGGCCTTATGAATTTTCGGTATTTTTCGTAACTTATCGTAAAAGCCTAGAACAAAACTAATGTGATTGAAGATTGAAGTCACAGGTTATGATAAATTATAGTTAAATCAATTGTGAATTTAGTGTTTCGACAGGGACAACGAACGGCCGTACACCCCTAAAAGATATTTGCCGAATTTCGTCATGTATCTTACGAAAAAGCCAATCATATTTTTTAAAGATGAAACCTGTTTTCAATATTTCATAAATAAAATTAATAAAAAGTAAATGTCTTTACATACCAGTTATTTGCTGCAGATATAGTACATCTAAAAGTATAGCTACAAAAGCTGTTTAGACATATAATAATATTTTTATTATTGAATATGTATATACGTATTTCTGTGCCCCTTTTTAACAACCATCGTGATGGAATACATAACCTATAATTATTCGCTTTTTATAACCCCTTGATTTGTTTTACATTACAGACAAAAATTTGTTTAATCGTGATGGAGAATATCCAATAAAAAACGTTATCTCTCTCTATCGACTTGGGCTGACATTCACTGAACACACTCTTGCAAATAATGCCGTTCAGCAATTTCTAGCATCAAATCAAACCTTTGATGTGGTTATTTGCGAACAGTTCACTAGTGAAGCTCTCTATGGCTTTTCTTGGCACTTCAAGGCACCCCTCATAGTATTCTCCTCGATAGGACCATCCGAATGGATCAGTGACAAGACTGGTCATCCTCTTCCGGTCTCTTACGTACCTCACGCTCTCACCAGACGAACCACAAGAATGGACTTTGTACAAAGATTTCAGAATGTTTTTATACACATTTTTGATTATATCTACAGGAATGTGTATGTGTACCCCATACAAAATAAACTGGCTCAGAAATACTTTCCTGGAATACCACATTTAGATCATATTATGTATAATGTGTCATTATTTCTAACAAATTCTCATGCTGCTACAACGGAACCTGTGCCGATTACACCCAACATAATTGAAGTTGGAGGATTACAGATTTCTCCCAAAAAATTACCTAAAGATTTGCAAGATTTTTTGGATGGAGTCAAACACGGTGCTGTCTACTTTAGCATGGGCACTAATTTGAGAAGTACACATTTAAAAGACAAATATAAAAATGCCTTTATCAGAGTGTTTTCAAAATTAAAGCAACGAGTAATATGGAAATTTGAAGACGGCAATAATTTACCAAAGTTACCTTCTAACGTATTGATAAGAAAATGGCTACCCCAACAAGATATTCTAGGTACTAAAACCAAAAGATTATAATTTTTTATTCATGCATGTATTTGTAGCACATCCAAACGTCAAAGCATTTATTACTCATGGAGGACTGATTAGTATTACAGAAGCGACTTTTCTGGGTGTACCCATGATTACCATTCCAATATTTGGAGACCAAAGGATGAATGTAGCGAAGCTGCTTTCTAAAGGCACTACAATACATTTACCATACAAGAGTATTAATGAAGATACTTTGATGGAAACTCTTAATGAAATTTTAAATAATACACGGTAAGGCCGCTTTGATTTTTTTTGTAAATCTTCATTTACAAAAATTGTATTCACGTATTGTGGCTATATTTAATCAGGGGCGGCCTTAGAGGGTGAAAAGCGGGGCTCTTGCAAGGATCCTGCGCCCTCGCAAGTAGAAAAATATGAGGTACTAGTAGTACCTACTAATGTTTAATTGAATTTCTTTGTCTTAAAAAAAGCCTCAAGCTTCACTTCTGAATCGCTGATTATTTTAAGAATTTAATAGAAGATCTGTTCAAAAATTATTTATTTATTCCTGAATATCTATTTTGCCTTCTTCAAAGTAATCCCCACCAAATATTATGCCAACGTTTTTTCCAATCCTCGAATCACTTCAAAAAATCATTTTTTGTGATTTTGTTCAGTTCCTTCTTCGATGGCGTCTTTATCTCCTCAATCGTAGCAAAGCGTAGTCCTTTCATGGGCCTCTTCAGTTTCAAGAACAAGAAACAATCACAGGGAACCAGATCTGGGAAATACGGTGGCTGCGGCATTGTTAGTGTGTTGTTTTCAACCAAAATTCTCGTACAAGCAACGATATGTGAGCAGGGGCTTACTGACCGTTCTACCCTGTGGTAAAAACTCATGATACACCCCGCCCCTGCAAACGAAGAAAACCATAAGCAAAACCTTCACATTCGACCTAACTTGACGCCCTTTATTCGATCTTGGCTCGTGCTGCAGCTTCCATTACGATAATTGAGCTTTGGCTTCCACGTCATAACCATAAACCCATAATTCGTCACCACTTATCACCCTCTGGAACAAATTTGGGTCCTCGTGGATGACGTTTTTGTTCGAAATAGAGATTCTTTGATCAATTTTTTGGAATAGACAAAAATCGAAGACGAGCCAAAACACGTACAAGCAAAGCAGCTGTCAAAAATTAACTAAACAATCAAGATAACCGAACTTGTCGGTATAAGTGAGAGACTTGAGTACCTACATAACGCCACAAAAAGCCGAAAATTGAATATACGTAACTCGCGGAAATTGAAAATTCGCAATACTTTTTTAACGAACCTTGTAGACCGTAGCTTATCATAATTAATAATTTGTTATATTTGTGTTTATTAATTTTTGTTAATTTCCAAAAAGCAATTTTAAAACTATAAATTTTTGACCACTTTACATTTTTTCACATTGACTAAGGTAGCCCCTCAATTTAATATAACAGATAAAAGCAGTAAATAAAATAAAAAAGCAAAGTAGAATAAAGTTTGATATTTTTTTTAGGTATTATCAAGCAGCTCAAAAGCTGTCATTTATTCTTAACGATCAGCAGGAGACACCTATGGACAGAGCCATTTATTGGATAGAGTACGTCCACAGACATCGAGGAGTACCCTTTTTGAAACCAGCCTCCTTGGAGTTAACTTGGTATCAGTATTGCGGATTCGATGTGTTGTTAGTAACACTTATTATATGTAGCTTTCCTCTGATCATTTATTATTTACTTTCAAAATGTAAAAGACCAGTAAAAAATAAGCTGCAATAACACTGCATTTAATAAACATTAGTTGATAATAGAACTGTCTAAAAATGCTAATAAAATATAATATCTGTGATTAGTTGTTATTATTATTCAATAAATACGTCAAATCGATGTTACTGTTTTAAAAAAATCCGTATACTTAAATGCTGCATTTATCAGAATTATATTTAGCTGCATAATGTATCTCACCTTGTCTTTGAGTATAGTAAACAATTACTTGAAATTATTATGGTATAATTGCCGTAAAAAATATGGAAAAAGGTTCTCGGTAATTATTATATTTCGGACCTGAAAAACAATATTTTGATCCGATTATTTATCAGTTATAATGAATTGCTATAAAATATGAAAAATCATTTTAACGTATTGGTTTTAAATAATTTAGAACGTATTTTTAATAATGAATAAACGAAATCCAATGAAACACTGTTAACATATGACGCATACCACAGTATGGAGAAATCCTATTAATAGAAAACATAATATAATAAACAGGTAGTTCGCTACGTCGTAAAGTGTTGTAGAGCATGGTAAAACGACGTTTGGTACCATCCATTCTCTTGTCTTGCTAAGGCTGCACATGGAGAAAATGAAAAACGAAAATTTACCTAAATATTGAAGGGATATTTACAATTTTCCCACTAGCCCGTTGCTTCGTAAGCGAAAATAATAAAAATTACAATTTGAACCCGAATTTGTAAACATAAAATCCCAGAAGAAATAAATCTACTAGGTATTTTAGTTGATATTACAAATTTAATTGTAATAATTAAGAAACTTGAAATAACTTTTAAAGGAACATGTCAAAATTGATATTATTACAAGTTACCTAATAAATTCTACTATTTCTACGGCAAATTAAGTTATTTACAATCGAAACTTGTAATTTCTGCGTTGTCATAAAAATTTAGTTTTCTCTGTGTAGCTATCCGGAGCTTTTTGGTATACTACCGACAAGAGACCCATCGCAATGCATTCTAGAAAACGTCATAGAACGTCGTAGAACGTACTAAAACACCATGTATGACACCATCCATTAGCTTGTCCTTCCAAACGAAGAGACTGTATAGTTACCTCGGGTTTTCAGTGGACTACCGCCAAGAAGCCCGTCCTCTTGCCCATCTTTTACTGATTTAAAATTCTTCAAACGCGTTAATATTACACGTTGTTTCCAAATGTACGTATTTTACTACACAGGGTGATCCAATTATCATAAGACAATAAAATAGCTTGAGTGGATTACATTATTGTAGAAAAACATTTACATAAAAGCCGCGCTTTCAAAGGGAAAATCGAAAGAGCAAAAAATTTTGTAATAAAAAGTACCTATCCTTAAAGTAGATTTTCTCTTGACGATCGAATTTATATTTATGAGAAACTAAAGAACAACTACTAGATATACGAAATATGTTGACTGAACTTCATTATTTCGGATTAGGTTTTATGTTAGTTTGGTCTCGTTGTGTGTTCTGATGTTCGAGGTGATGAAATAATAAAAAACGGAATAAAACGATAACAAACGTTAATAAAACAAGAACGGAAAATGAAGACTAGAATTTAAGAAGGTAGAATTTGGAAGTTGAAGTTAGGAAGGTAAGTCATCGTAAAATTGAAATTAGAAAGTAACAAGAATAATAAATATCATGCAGTTAATCACAGGATTGAAATGTTATTGAGAGATTATAGGAAAGTACGAAGGCAATTAAGCTATTTGTACAAAGAAGAAATGGTACAGAGCAGGTAGTACAAAATAGAATTGTTCAGAAAGATTAAGGAATATTTACACATGAATACAATGGTTATGCTTTATAACAAATAAAACTATATGAATAATCATATTAGACAAAACTGACATGGTCGCGACGCCAGAAGCACGACATTGAAGTGATTATTATGAGAACATTTTCTCATTAAAGAAAACTGTATTGACGTATATAATAACGCATTAGGGAATTGAAAACATGTAAATATTCCATGGTTGATAATTGTTTCCACCAATGGCTTAAATTAACTTACGAATTCATTCACATACAGGTACATAGTTGTTTATGGATAGAAGTTCGGATATGGAGAGATTGGGTGAAACGAATGGGGATAACTTTGTGGAAAACTGAAAAAGTATTTTCAGCTAAAAGTAAAGGATAAAGATTCAAAAGGTAGAAGTGGAAAATCGAAAATTCGAAAAAGAAACTGGGAATAAACCTAACTTAAATCTAATTTATTCTAGTCTAATCTAAAATAGTAAAAAAATTCTTGGAATGATTTTCGTTTCAAAAAGAAAAGGTAAAAACTGTTCTAAAATAAATAAATAAATATATTGTTTTAGGTTGATTAGGTAGATTACGCACGTGTCTTATTCAAATTTTCGATTTTTCACCTCTACCCCTATGCCTTTATCCCTCAGCCCCCAAATGAAAATGCCTTTTTGGTATTCTACACTACAACCATAGAATTCGTTTGTTATTTATCGATGCTTATATATGAAGTTTTATTTAAACAAACATTTACAAAAGAAATCAGCACTCCAAGGTAAAAACTTACAAATATTACAACAACAACTTACTTTTCTAATTTGTTTTTTCATTAAATGCAGCTGGGTCTAGTGATTATTATAATTTCATTTTAAAATTTAATACCTAAAAGCAAGAAATTTGGGGCAGTTCATTCTTCTAGAGTCTAATTAAAACCAAATGATTGCCAACTTACACATATACTTATTACAGATTGATTTTATGTATTATGAAATATATTTGTTTTAAAGCATATTCCAGGTATATGTATGCACTCAACATAATCACCAACCTTGTTCAAAAAGTAGATAAACAAATTTCAAATTTAAGTGTAATGTTACACAATTTAATATAAATGAATATATACACGTTGTAAATAGGCATTAGACGCTCCATAGTTAGTATAATGATAATAATGTATTTATATACATTTTAACTTTAAATAGATTCTCAGAGCAAAAATTGTGTTTAATGACCAAAAATAAATCAACACATACCTATTCAATTTAGTGTTTACTTGTGTTCGTTTATATATTGTGCATACATTAAAGACATTACAGTGTTTTTCACGTTTAATAAAAACAAGGGACTTTTACATTATAATGAGCTGCAACAATTGCCAATGATTATTATGTAAATGTATTTTTTGAGCATCTTAAAAATATATAGAGATCGTATAATATTAGAATTGTGGAAATAAATATTTAAAAATTACTCCTTTTTGTTATTGGATTTGAAGTACGTAGGTACATGTATAACATAATGATCCTAAAATGAATTGAACATTGAAGTCCTTGTTGCTGTAATATCTAGTTTGATATTATTATTGAATAGAAAAACGTCAACAATAAATATAAAGTATACATATATCATTCGTTAACTAAACATACGTGAAAAGATAGTAATAGGAAAAATATGTATATTTTACAATATTTTAGATAAGAATGAAAAGACGAATTAATCAATTTCAGCAAGATTTTTATCGTAAATCATTACTTGCACATTTACAACAGTATACGTATCATTTTCTGGAAATCGCGGGTTTTTTTGAACACATTATTATACACAAACAAATCATATAACTATTTTCAGAGTCATAGACATTTTTCCATTCAAAAACCAAATGCATTTTTCTTTTGCATACAAATTGTGCTGCTTTATATAACGTTCCTTTAAACTTTGACCTTTGATAGAAACATTTAATAACTTCAGAGTTGGCTTATTTAAATAAAATGGTCTATCAAACATTACGAAGCGTTTTCCGATTTTAAATAGATAAAACACGTTTTATAAGAAACCATCAAATTCAGTTTTTCTGTGTGTATCTTTTATAAATTAGGATTCGCAACTCATTTTTAATAATGAATAAACGAAATCCAATGAAACACTGTTAACATATGACGCATACCACAGTATGGAGAAATCCTATTAATAGAAAACATAATATAATAAACAGGTAGTTCGCTACGTCGTAAAGTGTTGTAGAGCATGGTAAAACGACGTTTGGTACCATCCATTCTCTTGTCTTGCTAAGGCTGCACATGGAGAAAATGAAAAACGAAAATTTACCTAAATATTGAAGGGATATTTACAATTTTCCCACTAGCCCGTTGCTTCGTAAGCGAAAATAATAAAAATTACAATTTGAACCCGAATTTGTAAANGTTAGTGGGGGTAGTCTTACACTCCTACAGAATTATTGAGTAATTACTTGATTGTGACTTGACCATGACCGAAACTATAGGGTAAACGATGGCAGATTTGAACAACCCTTAGAAAATGCTATTACTATTTAAATTTATAAATTAAATGCGATATCACCCTTAAATAGATAAAACACGTTTTATAAGAAACCATCAAATTCAGTTTTTCTGTGTGTATCTTTTATAAATTAGGATTCGCAACTCCTTTTTCCCACATTCGACATACATAAAAAACTCCTTTCTACAGACCGCATTATATTTATGCCAGAAAATACTCATTTACATCAGACAGACATTTGAACTCAAGTGCGTGTAGTAAATTGTTATTTAACGACTATGTAGAAGAGAGAGAAGCAAATTACTTCACCGAAATGATAATTTCGACTCGTCATCACCCCCACTTTTTAGTAAAATTCGCTTGTTAATCGTATTGATGAGAATGAAGATACATATGTGTGTGTACTACGATCCAATGTTGTTTGCAAACTGTGCAGTGAAGTCAATCGTGCCACAATGAGGAATTATGTGTTGTGTCTATCATTTTCGTTACTAGTATGCTACGCTAGTTCCGCGAACATATTAGCAATATTCCATGCCCCTTCAAAAAGCCATCATAATCTTGCTGTTAAATATCTTAGACCCCTAGCCGAAAGAGGACACCATATAACCCTAGCAAGTCCTCATGTCTTAAAGAATCCTCCGAAAAATTGGAGGGATGTTGTCTTTAAGGATTTAGGGAAAGATGTTATGACAGGTACAAATTTTATCATTCTTACATTTTATTCAAATGTTCGGAAACATTCAGAAAACAAATTAAAAAAAAACATCTTAACTAATTGTACGACAGTTCGAGGCAATCTTTCATCTTGAAGTTCCTCTCAAAACGTAAATGAATGTTTGTTTATAGTCTACAACGCTAGTCTTGCAATTAATAAATGATAATTTGGAAAACATATTTTTAAATGTTTTAGATTGTATTAACTAGCTTTTATGTTCTCTTTTGAGGAAAAAACGAATATGTAAATATAACGTGTAAGTTGGTAGAAGTTCCCGCTGTCCAGTGATTTGTAGTGGACCTTCTCTTGTGATGAATTATTAAAAAAAGTATATTTTTGCCATTGCTATATTATTGTCTTTTACTGGTCATTCATATGACCCAATTTAAAATACATATAGTTGAACTTCTCCAGATTCAAATTTTTTAAGCGAAACTTTTAGAACCATACATTTTCACTGCAGCATTTAGTTATGATAATATGCAAAACAGCGAAAAGCGATGTTAAGTTGGAATTATTAAGTTACCATAAATCGTGATCTAAAATTGTAAAAGTTAATAGCGGTGGACGTAACAAGAAAAAACAGAAATTTCCCTTAACTGTAATTTTGTGTAACACGAACACAACTGGTTGCATTCGGAGGAAGTTCGAGTTTGTATTTGCATTAGGTTGAGTAATCCTTATTATTTAAATCAATTTTATTGTTATAAAGAAATCGTTTATCTTTTGTAAAATAATCACAGAATAAGTAAGACTTCAGGACTTATGGTGCACATTTTTACACTATTGCATATGTCTAAATGCATTTAGATTAGCATTCTAATTTCAAATATTCGAATCGTAATTAAGAGGGAGAAAATATAATGGATTCTATTTTTATATTACGTCATAAAAGTAACAATTTCAGGATTTTTACTGAAAATTCATAATTAAAGTTAATTTAAATCATACCTACATATAGACTACATTGTATATGCCTGTCACGTCCACAATTACTGACATCTTACTCATAATTTTCATTAAATCTTTAATGAAACGTATTAAAACAATTTAATGTAAAAAAATATAATCGTTTTCTTTTAAGAAATAAAGTTTTACTTTTTAAGATGGAAAAATCATGTACAAAATGGCTGGAATGTCAAGCTACATGAAGGAAATTATAACTGGCACCATAGGGGCGAGATTTACTTCCCAGTTTTTGGAGCATCCGGCATTTCAGGATCTTCTCAATCTTAAAGATCAATTTGATGTGATAATAATCGAGAGATTTATGAATGATGCTCTGTTAGGTCTTGTACACCATTTCAAAGCTCCTTATATTTGGTTCGGATCAATGGGATACTCTCGCTGGACTAACGATTTAATCGGTAATCCGGGATCACCTGCATACATACCCGATTTGTTTCTGGATTATACCAGCAACATGAACTTATGGCAGAGATTTCATAATACTTTCTTCTTCTGTTTTGCACAATTACATACCTACTTTTCCGCATGGCCTCAACAAGAAAAACTATATGAAAAATATTTTCCTGGAGCTCCCAAAATGAAAGATTTATATTACAATGCTTCCTTAGTATTTTTGAATACACACGTAAGTATCAAATATGCCGTTCCATCAGTGCCAAATATGATCGAAATTGGAGGTTATCATGTCACTCCTCCCGAAAGTTTACCTAAGGATCTTAAAGATTACTTTGACAATGCCCCCAACGGAGTCATATATTTTAGTTTGGGGTCTGTAGTTCAAGGAAAAGACATGCCAGAAGAAACAAGAGATGCGATCTTAAGAGTTTTTTCGAATCTTAAACAGAAAGTACTTTGGAAATGGGAAGCCGATGTAACCTTTAAGGTACCATCCAATGTGAAGTTTGAAAAATGGCTGCCGCAAAATGACTTGTTAGGTACAAACTTTGTATAGCTATAAGTTTTATCATTTATTCTAAAGAAACTATTTATAAAATGAAATTATTATCTCTTACTGGTATACGCGGTAGGCATGTCTCAAAAACTCGGGGACTTGAAAAAAAACTCCCATTCTTACAGGAGCAACAAATTTTTCGAAACATTACCACTATTGCTTTTTTTTTAAAATCAGTTCTCCAATTTTTGGGACACATCGTGTATCAATAAATATAAAGGTATTCATATGATTTGTTATGTTGCAGCTCATCCGAACTTAAAATTATTTATCACTCACGGAGGATTACTTAGTACCATAGAAGCAGTTTACCATGGGGTTCCTCTATTAACATTGCCCGTCTTTGCAGAGCAGCTTATGAATGCTGCAGAAACTGAAGAATACGGATACGGATTACAACTTCCGTTTGCGAAATTCGACGAAGAGAAGTTTAAACAACTTCTTACCGAAATTCTTAACAATCCAAAGTAAATATTATTTGATTTTTGCATAATTTACAGTGTCTACTGTCGAATTTGATTACCGCATATTTATCAGTGTTGACATTTTCGTTAAATATTGTATCAAATCCAAATGAATACCACTCTTGATTTCCAGGTCTAAATTTTCAAGGTTATTAGAGTGTTTTATCAGCATCGCGTTGTATGTGCAATACGTACGTAACTAACGCACTTTTTTGCGGGTATTCAGTAATCAAGCTATAAAATAGTTAATGCCATTTTTAGTTGTTTTCATTCTCTATATTTTATTATATTTTATTTTACCTTTTCAGGTATAAAAATAATGTTCAAACTCGATCAAAAATTCTTAAAGACCAAGAAACCACTCCTATAGATCGAGCCATATTTTGGACTGAATACGTCATTAGACATAAAGGTGCACCCCATTTAAGATCGGTTACACTCAATTTAAAGTGGTATCAGTACCTGTTAATTGATGTGTTAGCGTTAGCTGCTGTGATAGTTTTTGTTATTTATTATGTACTTAAATCTTGTCTTTCGCTAATTTTTAATAAGAAAAAAAATGCTGATATCAACAGGCATAAAAAGACAAATTAGTGCACTCAGTTTTGTAGAAAAGTATCACATTGCGAATAGGTATACATATGTGTAGAGATAATATTTAATTAAATACATTTTGACATTTACTTATTTTCATTTTATTACTTTTTAATTAAATAATTATTACATGAATGAATTTTTAAATACATTCTGTTCTCGTGCCGATATATAAGTATAGTACTTTTATGTAAACAACTATTTCATAAAATAAAAAGTTATTTCATATTGAAAGATACGCATTCTATTGCCTTATGCTGACAAGGAAGGAAGAGATTGACCTCGAAGCAAACGTAATATTATTAATTTCAGTTTTATTGTTGTTGACAAGTTTGAATCAATCTGCAATAGAAAATGAAGATGAGTTTTAAATTATTCTTGATTAGTTCTTAATTAGCTGCATGAGTGAAACAAAACAACGAATGGTGTACCTATACTGAAGAAGGACGAATGGTTTGTTTCACCACCTACTTACAGTTATACATAATTTTCAGACAGTTTTGTAAACTAGCATTTTATTTTATGAGAAATTAAAAAATTTATGTTCACAATAGAAGTTCGAAAAAGATTTTTAAAGGTATATATTTACAATGCGACGCTATACGGGTGCGAAACATGGACGGTGGACGTGGAGGAAAAGCCAATGCTAGAAGCGTTCGAATTGTGGTGTTACAGGCGAAGGATTGAGTATACCCTGGATAGAGAAGGTTAGAAACGAAGGGGTATTAGAAACAATAGGACAACAGAGGACTTTATGGATGTCAATAAGAAATAGGCGAGATAGGTTGACAGGTCACCTTCTCAGGCATGAAGGTCTAGTCAGAGACATATAAGAGGCAGAAGCAGGAGTTAAGAGGAGTAGAGGTACACTTAGATTAGATTACTGTTCGCAAGTAGTTAAGAATGTGGGATGTTCTAGTTTTAGGACAATGTGTAACCTTGGCATGTCTCCACGCTACAAAAGCTTCGAAAAGCCGGAAAGAAAATTTATTTTAGAGACTTTGGAAGACAACTTGTAGCAGATACTGCTCATTTACGTAGACAAATATATAGTTTTCATTGGCAATATCCATAAAGCAGTTTGATACTATTATTGTCCCTTCAGCATTCTTCGAAATTTCATATGGGTAAAGATCACCACTTTAACTAATTTACTAGTCGCCGTTATAACACTAATTTAAAAAGGCGCTACTTTACATAATGTTATCTACTTAATGTTACCTAACGTCTAATAGTCTAATAATTGTACACATGACGATGTGAAATTTTTCTAATTTTAAAAATTGTTATTTTTGCCGTAAGCGTTAATTACGAGAAATTATCGTTAAAATATGATTACAGAAACATTCCATGATAACATTGTATTTACTAAGAATGCGATTCTGGACTTTGAAAATAAGATAATGACTACATTTTAAACCAGTTTTTGGTCTAACATCATCCCAATTTTAACTACTTTAAGAAGGGAAACGTTTTCTCTGATGTACTATGTGCATTCTTTTCCAATTAGTAATGCTTAATCAATTTTCAAAATGACAATAAGAACGCTATTGATAAAAGCATCAAACATCAACAGTTTTTGCCTAATAAATATTCTTCAATCTGGTTATGCTACATAGGTCGAAATTTATAATCACAAAAGAATGATATGAATAATAAAAACCGATTCACACTTGGTACGGTCACGGTCAAGTCACAGTCAAATAATTACTCAATAATTCTGGAGGAGTTTAAGAAGTTTGAAAGACTATAATAATTGAATTTGAAACGTTAGTGGGGGTAGTCTTACACTCCTACAGAATTATTGAGTAATTACTTGATTGTGACTTGACCATGACCGAAACTATAGGGTAAACGATGGCAGATTTGAACAACCCTTAGAAAATGCTATTACTATTTAAATTTATAAATTAAATGCGATATCACCCTACCTGAAACAAGTCATATTCGACTAGATGCTAGTACTGCTATATCATGTGCAAGTCTAAGCATACTAATCTTTTTTTCCAATGGCTATAAACAAAAAAGCTCTAGTTCGGTTAAAATGTCAGCCTCCATCAGTAAAGCTGCAACAACTGAAGACTGAAGCATAACCGTAACTGTACTCTGCTAACATGCAAAGTTATTCCTTTTGTGGCACAAAGGTATAGGTACAAGGAATATGTTGGACTCCCTATTCATACCGCAGCTTTTTCGGCCTTTATGATTTACTTGTGACCTTATAGTCTAGCTAGTTTGGTAATAACGTCAAAACGCAAGTTTTTATCTAGAATCACTTTAAGAAATGTGGTAAAAAGTCAATACGTGCAGAATGTAAAAAACGTCATTGCTTTATTAAATAATAAAAAAATATTTTGTATTATTACCTAATACATAGTACCTTAGTATGAATATATTAATTGTCCATACTATTCACCATTCAGCCTTTAATTTTATATTTGTTTTTTTTTTTTTAAATCAAGGCAATGTTGGGGTTAAAAGTACATTATTTATTTGAAAAACACAGCTGACATGTCGCCAAGGTTGTTGGTCTCTTTCAGAGCTAGTTTTTGTATTTAAAAGTATAATGCTATTAGATTTGCTGTTAAATGGTACATGCTCTTTAGATTTAGATTTAACAGCGAATTCGTAAGCGTTACATTTTTAAATAAAAAAGTAGCCTTGAAAATACCCAACAACCTAGACGAAACATCGACTGCAGTTTTTAAATAAGTAACTTGAAGCAATTAGTGGAATATGATTGATAACCAAGTCGGGATAAATAATCCTGTTAAATTCATTTATTAGCATATTGGGCAACTTGTAAAGTGAAAATTCTAATCCTAATGAAAACGTATTAGTATGGCCATCTACTGTTTACAAGTTGAAATCCAATAGACTAGGGAATGGTTGAAGTAGAAAGCAATTTAATTTTTGTTAAAGTTCAACAGAGAAAGCTCATAAGGCAAAATCCTTAGATTAAATGCTGAAAATTTTTTATCACATTTTTTGTTAACATTTTTGACACAAAATTAGTAGATACTTACACATCGACTACGTTATTACGCAACTTCATATTTTTACAGATATATGTTACATTTTTGTAAAAGTAAAAATTAAAAAAAAATAAATTGAACCCCAATATTTTCTTCGAAGATAATAATAAACTTATATCCACGTTGTAAGCATGTTGGCTACGATTTAGAAAAAGGAACTATTAGTTAAAGGGAGGCTTCCCAATGAATTGAAAATGCAGGATATGGAACAACGTTAACGTAAAGGTCCGTACTGTACCATGTTCAAAACTTTCGTATAAAAACGGTTATTATATGTCTGACTGCATGAACATTTATTTAATTTTTGGTACGTCTCCAAGTTTGATACTATTTAGAAGTTTTTGTGTTGATTTTCAATCACAAGCCAACATCCTGATCGTCAGCCAGTTGTCGTTTTCTTTTTCATGAGTTTTTAACAAATTCAAAAACAAGCATATATACCGTTTTATCCTCTCCTAGGACATTGGACGGCGACGCCATTGCTGCGATTAAAAGTAACATCTCTTAAAATTGATAGCACTGTTAAAAGTCCGGTAATTTGGAGCAAAAAGTACATAAGGATTGCTCTGAGTCATAAGTTCATTTTCACTTTGTACAATACCTCTGCAAATAATTTTTGAACCAATTCATGTAGTTTTAAAGCTAAACATTACCGCTCTATTAACAAACAATAAATATTTAAACATCATGTCTACCGAAAATAGATATTGGATAAACAACATAAAGCAAATATAAATATTTATTAAAGCAAATTTCTAATCAAGATTCAAGATTAAAAAAAGCCCCTGTCCTATACCATGTATTGATAAAATCAGGAAGCACAATTATGTTCCACGAAATAAAAAATAATCAACAATGTTAAATTAGACGCACCAGGATTACCATCAAGGTGTAATCATTATAAAATTATGGAATAAAATAGTGATTCAATAATTTACCATACATTTACGAGGTAAACGAAGAAATGACATGGAAATTATAAACGTATGCGGAAACGGTCATACGACACGCCAACTTGCCTCACTTCTGACTTTCTCGATCGTCGTAATCCAACTCTAATCTGACTATTTATACGACTGCTAACTTCGATTTGGTTCAGACCTGAAAATATGATAATAACTTGGCATTCCCTCTTTTAATTGACGATTCCATTTTTGCTCCAAACAAATCTTCTCAGAAAGGGTATCCTTTGGGTGTCGCGGACGGTAATATTTTCCGCTTCTAAAACGTGACAGCCTACTTTCGGCTAATGCGGGGCAGTAACCGACAGTATACCTAGCACTTTTTACTTCTTCGTCACAAAAATGACAGGAAGAACGGGTGGAATCCCTGTTTATTCCTGTGGAACCGCAGTTGTTCGTGGCTTTTAAGAATTCTTACAAGAGTCCTCACTTTCTTCATGCCGAATGTGTTCTTCCCAGTCCTTATAGAGCGACAAAGTTCTTTGCTTGCTTACATGCTGGTTACGTTTCCCAATCCCCGCCTAGCTCTAAGACGATCCACCTTGTAATTTCTTGCTTGAAAAGGCTGCCGCAGATACCAACAGCTAGTTTCAAATCCAAGATGTCTCTGAGTACCTGCTTTTGCAAAGTCGTTTGCAAACTCATTTCCGTTTATGCCACTGCAGTGATCCGGAATCCAAAGCAATACTGCCTAGGTTTAAGTCGCTAATTAAATCTATTAAGGGCTAAGTGGTAATCCTTCAATCAATAGCTTCGACATTGTCGAGTGCCTTCTAAAGATAGTTGCAATCAGAGGTGAATACACTCAAAGGCGGAGAAATGTTAATTTCACTCCTCTTCGTGTTTTTAGATCCATCGGTAAACCATAGGGCAACATCATACGTGATAGTGATTTTATCCGAAGACCAGTCCTATTTGAAATGGAGACTGATCCTATACTTTTCGTCAAAGGGAAACATTGTTTTGGTACGGTCAGGGGGTATCTCGAGGATACCTCCCTTAATCACATCCTTGAGAAACTCAAAAGGCCCCACCTCAACCTTCTTTCTATGGATGTTAGTGATTCTCCATCCAACCTTGTTATGACAGCTCTAAGGATTACTTTGAAGTATTCAATACTCAAGTACATTCCCAGACCCGCAATGAGAGTATACCTCATCAGCCACTATCTGAGCATTAACCCTCTCAATCTCTCTAGCTCTCTAACCGAAGTGGAGAAGTCCTGTTCCACCAAACCAACACAGCATGGGTCAATCTGAGTTTCAGGACAGCATTAAAAATCTACCTGATGGTAACTAGTTAAAGCCTCCAGTGTCTATTTTTTGCCTACTTAGTTTGACAAAAGCAGGCTCTGAGCTTTTTTCTCGTTAAATCTAGATGATGGTTCCTTCAGAACAGTTTCATAACACAAATTAGCCCTAATATTTATTTAATTACTAAACCTTCTAACCCAAATTTCTGTCGTTTCAATGAGCTGTGTGTGTGTATGTTCGTTTAAATTAGTTAGGTTATCACTTTTAGTTTATCATTAGAAGCTTTTCAGTTTTTATCCATTTCCGCTATTACATCCGCGTATAAAATTTGGATAATATTCGGTTCAGGAAGCTGTAAAATAACTTTAAATTTACTAAGACTCTAAGAAGATTATATTTGGAATATTACCACAGTACAAGCTTTACATCCTCAATAACGTAACCACGTTCACAACTAGGATCTGGTACTATATTAACTCTATTTAATGAAGCAGGTAGACTGTAATGATTGCTTCTGAGTCTGTTTGTCAAAACAACTGTCCTTCTGTCTAAAAATTGATTGTGAAACTAAGTTTTTCTTTCTTAAAAAAAATATTTAAACCTGTTAATATTTTCTGAAAGGTAGGCATTTATAATATTAGCTGTTTTAAGAATAGGATATAAATCAGTAAAGGGAATCAAGGTATAATCAATAATTTCCAACTGAGGGCAGTACCATGATGAGCCATCAATAAAAAGATCAAGACAGTCTGTATGAATATTTTCTTAATGGCTCAAGAACACTTGAATCAATTGTTAACTAAATATGATATCAAAATTTCGAGTCCCATTCACCAAGCCATCAAAGAAATATTTGAGTTATCTAATCAAATTAGAAGTTCTAATCTTCCACTGAGCTTTGCCCTAGATTACAAAGATCTGTACACCTTTCCTGAATACAATATTGAACTCGACCAACTCCTTAAAAACTCCAATTCTCCTAATATTGATTTCAATTGCTGAACTATTAATGGTCCTGTCTCCGTTTTGACATTTATTAAAGTTTTCCTGTATTTTTGTTATTAATAATATAAATAGAAGTAAGCTTAATCAGAACCCTTGCTTATTCAAAACTTATCTATGCCTCCATCTTTTATCAATACTGAGTTGATGTAGCTACTGTATTTTTTTTTTATTTTTGTAACCATCTGTCTTATCAAAGTAAAATATCATTATCATTTTAGTGGTTTATCCTGTACTTTATCTGTTTTAAAGTGGATTAATAATTCTTGTTAATAATAACGGAATTTTAAAACAAAAGAAGAAAATATGTTTTGGTTTATAAAAAAAATTGAAAAAAATAGTGTTCATGAAACACGTTGGGATTTTATTAAACGTTAATATGTTATACATATGATATTTAAAATATCATTCTTTGGCGCTTTTGTAACAAAATTCTAATTCGATTCGGTTGTTGCAAAATTAAATAACAGATTAATTAATACTGTTATATTATCATTGTTCGATAAAGCATAGCTTATTTTACTTCTGATTAAACTAACATAACACCGGGTATTAAGTTTGCAATAAAAAGGTCAAAAAGGAATTTTGGACTCAAAGGATTAAGATAGCTCATTAATAAAAGTTTAGTAAATCTCGATAATACAGACAAGAGAAGTGTCAAACACAATCAGCAAGATTAATCCTTAAAAATTATTTATCTTTTTCAAACTGATGTTGAAAATACAACTCACATTTCAGATGTTTTATATAAAATTCCTGTATTTAGATGGAAATTGTTTACCAATAAAAATGTTTGTAACTGTTATAGCGGGCGCAACTTATGAATAACATAGGAAAGTATCAGATCCTTTTATGTTTTTTTTGTATTGATTTCTCTATCTTGATTGACCAGGCAATTTTACGAATTAAATTTCTTTTTTACAACACGTACTGATCAGTTTTTTCTGCAATGTTAAAAGATAAGTAATACAAGTTATTATCCTAAAAAGGGCAGGCATGATGACAATATCCAAGAGATGAAGTGTAGACCATTAGGTATTTATAAGTTACATTCAGGTTTCATTAATTAATTATTGTAATTAATCTAGATGTTATTTTTACTATCAAGCGATTATGTATATCTATCTAGTTAATTTAGATAATAATATCTAGTAAAACTTGAATGAAGTTTTAAAACACAAAATAAAATTTAAATTTAAATGAAGAAAACTGAACTTTTTTGAAGTAAATATTCCTGGAATTGTTAGCAATATAAAAGTCAACGTTTCACTCCACTGTTGGAAGCTTTATCAATGCTATTTGCTTTTTTCTAAGTAAGTACATACATAATAGGTCAACATAACCCCTGGCTGATTAAAGTTATAAATAAATTAAATTAGTTTAAGCTTTTTCCAACAGACCTTCCAATCAAAGCCGGTAGTAATTAAAATCAGACTAAAATTAAGAAACTGTCACCACTTCGAACACTTTAAAATTTATTTATTTTTCTGGACCCCCCCCCCCATTTTAAGCTCACGCAATCAATATATGTATCTCTATGAACGAAATTAAGCACATGTAAGCATTCTTTATGATAATGTTGATTTTTAAGTAAATATAACAAATAACAGGTCACATAGATAAGTATCAATGCATGATATAAATAGGTAATTACCGTGTCTGGTTATTTATAGCTTATCTTTAAGTGTATCACAATATTTAGGAAACGGTAATGTTGAAAAGAGGAAATGATAAGTAAATTACTGAATAAATATATCAATACCAGTTACTGAAGATAGCGATTAGGTGGCACAATAAGGAATGCCTATTTTTGTTTGTACTTAATAATAATAGCTTTATTGAAAATTTATACGAAAGAAGAAGTGAACGCAGTTTCAGTAATTGTTTACTAAGTCTGACTTCGCTGGAAACCAATGAGTCGACATTTTTTTTTTTTTGATTTCACCCCCTTATCTAATATTGCGAAAAGAGCTGAAATTCCACCTAAATATCATATACAAAAATCGCTCTGAAATACTTAAAAAACTGTTGTACTAGGTAGTAGAAGGTTGGAACGATATAGTTTTTTTGCGTTTCAGCTCTAACTATTATAATGCGACACTGGTATAATGCTTGCCTGTCATGTGGACGAACCGGCTTCTATTTCCGAACAATCCAAAAATTACTATTCCTTTTAATTTATGTTCATTCATTAGTTTATTTTTTTTTTTAATGTTATGCATCTGCTGAAAGTTAGGGTGTGGTTCCTTAAGGTTGTCTTGACTCTTACTAATTTTGTACCTAAAAGAATTGAAAAAAAAAAAAANTTTATATTTATTTTTTACTATCTTTTTTAAACCTTATATACCTCTTGAAGATTAATCGTAAACTATGCTTAGTTTAGGTCACCCTGATTTGAAATAATAATTACAATTAATATGTTAGGTTGAGTTGTTGGGATATATGACCTATCGGTTTCAGGTAAATCCCGGTATAAAACTATCACGAAAAAATAATGTGATACCTTTATCGCTACATGTAATTTATTATGATTACTCATTTCTAGACCTTTTATTCCTATTTTTTTATAAGAAAACGATCGTCAAAAGTTACGGTTGCCACTAGTTGGGTGGAAAACCAGCCCGGTCAGTTTTTCATTAAGAAGGCCCAGTAAAAAGAAACTGTTTTCTTACCATTTTCCAGGCAATAGCTAGTTATCGAATTCAGAAAAGCTGCTAGAAATAACAAATCAAAACATGATCTGCCATCTGTTGATGAATAATGAAATTTATTACTTACTTATTCTACAGGATAATAGTTTGATGGGCCTATTTGTATGCTTATTGTGGATTCAGGCAGAATTTAATACGTTTCTTGTGGGTTCTTGCTTGCTATTTCGTAATGCTATTAAATATGTGCAACAATAATAGCGAATAGATTGACAAAACGTTGTTACTAACTAAAGTTTAATCTTAACGCATTTCTTTTAAATATAAATCATACTAGTGAAAAAATGATTTTAGTAAAATGTGAGATCCCCATAAATCACCCCCAGGTTCGGTTTTTGGGTTAACAAAAAGGTGACAACCCTATCATCAATATACTGATAAAATTATATTGTAGAGAATGTAAAAGTAAGAACCACATAAACCGCAATTTCGCAGATAACGAATAAAAAATGGGTTTCCTCAGTGTATCGTTGTTTCAACCATGTCCAACTTGATGTGATTTTTGTAAAAAACCGATACTCGCATGAACATAAAAACGTGAAACAAAGTAAAAACGTTAAGTACGAGAAATGGTCTTAAAATGTCTAAGTAAAGTAAAGCGAGACGCCGCAGGATGACAGCAGCCCATACTTTTAATAAGCAACATAAATTTTACAAACCTACAGAAAAATGATTTTATTAACTGAATTAGTACCTATTATCAAATTGTTTAAATACCAAGTAATATAATTATAAAATTGTTACAATAAACTCTGGTTCGAGATCAATGCATCAAAAACTACATGATTATAAATAAATTAGTGTATAATTTTATTATTAGGTTTGTTTATCGGCAGTAGTAAAAACAGATAAAAACACTTATTTGCGAATACCTTTTGAAGTGGCTTTCAACTATAATAAAGAGTAGTGAAAGATCGTAGACCTGTGCAGTGTACAGTCCCTAGTTGCCTACAAATCACGAATTCGGTTTTCTTTTACTTTAAGTTACTGGTAAACTATTAACTATGAGGAAAGAGGGCAATTTTCAAATATTAATTAAAAAAAGGACGCAATTTATTCCAGTGATGCTAGGTACGTTTAATAATCATTTACAAAATAACAGTTTTTTGATTTTATTGTATATTCAATAATTAATTATAATAGGTACTTCGAATCCTATAAAAAGTATGCAGTAAAAAGGAAATTTATAATAATTACAATAATGTTTTCAAATTTTCTGTAACGTAAAACATGTTTTCGGGCATCATCAAAAGGTAAAATTTTATCACTGTCAATATTAAATAAGTACTTTTTGTGTTTTTTAGCATGTATTTGCGCAATATCAGATGGCATGCAATACGCTTGGACGGCTCCTTCGATTCCTATTTTGGAGTCAGAAGAAAGCCCTGTAGAAGTAGATTCAGACGACGAAATATGGTTAGAAAATATTTATAACTTCGGCGGATTGGCTGGCTTGGCTGTAACTATATGGTTTGTGAACAGATTTGGAAGAAAAAAGTCTATTCTTTTTGCTGCCGTACAACATGCTATCGCCTGGATTATGATAGCACTTGCTAAGGATAAGGCAGTTATCTATGTAGCAAGATTTATATCAGGATTAGCCGGAGACGTTTCCTTTGTGTCAATACCGATGTATATAGCAGAAGTTGCCGACAAACAAATTCGCGGCTTTTTAGGAACCTTCATCTTCATCAACATGATGATCGGAGTATTGGTATTATATTGCGTAGCTCCTTATACCACTATTGCCAACTGTTCCTATGTTGGTTTATCAATTGTTTTATTTCAAATATGTACTTTTATTTGGATGCCTGAAACTCCGTATTATTATCTGATAAATGGAAAACAGTACAAAGCCCTAAAGTCATTGCAGTGGATACGAAATACGAAAGATGTGAAAGATGAACTGGAAGACATCTCCAAAGCAGTAAAAAGACAGCAGTCTGAAGAGGGACGTGTAAAAGACTTGTTTACGGTGAAAAGTAATCTACGTTGTGTTATTATCATGACGGTCCTTAACGCCGCACAGCAGTTTAGTAGTTTCAGTGTACTGTTAATGAACATGCATACAATTTTAGAAGATTCCGCATCATTTCTTTCAAATAATATCGCATCAATAATTGCCGCAGCGTTGATGCTGGTTGCTTGTATTTCTGCTTCGCTAATAATAGATAAATTTGGACGGAAAAGACTGTTGATAATTTCCAGTTCCACTACTTCAATAGCGCTAGGTATTTTAGCGACATACTTTGCAATCAAAAACTCGGGATATGCAATTGAATACAGTTATGGTTGGGTCCCGTTAGCTTCAGTTATCATGTACTCTTTCACTTTTAAAGTGGGGCTGGGACTAGTTCCCATTGTAATGACTGGAGAATTGTTTCCAACAAATATTAAAGCAATGGGAATGACTTTAGCGGATGCTATGTATGTTGGGTTTTCGATTATTTCAATTTACATTTTTATGACCACGAGATATTGGCTTGGAATGCATGTTCCCTTCTATATATTTTCTGGATCATGCATATTAACAACTTTCTTCACTTTATGGTATATTCCAGAGACCAAAGGAAAGACTCTTGAAGAAATTCAACTGATGTTGAGGGGAATTGATAATTAGTGGTTAGTAATTAGCGATTCTTTTAAAGATCTCCATGTGATTATTTTTATATTGTATATTGATTTATAAAAGATGATATTAATATGTTAGGTTGAGTTGTTGGGATATATGACCTATCGGTTTCAGGTAAATCCCGGTATAAAACTATCACGAAAAAATAATGTGATACCTTTATCGCTACATGTAATTTATTATGATTACTCATTTCTAGACCTTTTATTCCTATTTTTTTATAAGAAAACGATCGTCAAAAGTTACGGTTGCCACTAGTTGGGTGGAAAACCAGCCCGGTCAGTTTTTCATTAAGAAGGCCCAGTAAAAAGAAACTGTTTTCTTACCATTTTCCAGGCAATAGCTAGTTATCGAATTCAGAAAAGCTGCTAGAAATAACAAATCAAAACATGATCTGCCATCTGTTGATGAATAATGAAATTTATTACTTACTTATTCTACAGGATAATAGTTTGATGGGCCTATTTGTATGCTTATTGTGGATTCAGGCAGAATTTAATACGTTTCTTGTGGGTTCTTGCTTGCTATTTCGTAATGCTATTAAATATGTGCAACAATAATAGCGAATAGATTGACAAAACGTTGTTACTAACTAAAGTTTAATCTTAACGCATTTCTTTTAAATATAAANTTTTTTTTAATTATTTTTGTCGGATGCTAATCTATAAAGTGGTCGTTTTCTCCTTTAACTGCCTGTTGTTCTTTAGACAAACTAAGTACCACTCTTCTATCTCTGTAACTCATCCCTACATTTTTATGTATATTTAACATCTTATCCCATTTAACATTGTCAAAAGCCTTTTCTAAATCTACAAATCCTATGTACGCACTCTTTCCTTTTTCTATCGTTTTCTCTATTGTTAGTCATAAAGCTAGAATGACCTCCCGCTATTTGAATTGATTATCTGGTAATAGTTCTTCCGCCCTTTTTTGCATCCTCTTCTATACAATATTATATAGATATAAAAGAAATTATGAGTGCTGTCGACAGAGGGCGAAGTAGTATTACGTAGTTAATATCAGCAACGATGTGTTGCATACCCATTTACAAACAATTCCTTTAAATTTAATTTTTCAAACAATTTTTAGCACAAAGAAAATGATTAAACAAATTGTTCACAAAAGTGAATTTCGACCACTCGAAGCAATGGTGTTAACAGTTTCGATCTCACAGTGACTGATAAGGGGGAAGAACTAGTTCTAGTTAAGATTTTTGAAGCATAGTACATCCAGCAATTAATATTAATAATACAAATAGTAGTCATTAAGTAGTATTCTCTAAAACTCAAAACCATAAAATTGTAAATCGTTTATAAAATAGATATAATGCAAATATTATATTTTTATTTTACACCGTTTGTAACATAATTTCAAAAAACATAAGAAACTTAACAACAAATAAGTATTTCTTAATCTACGAATAAAAGAATGTTCCCATTGGTCACTTATCTCATCTAGATGTAGACTTACCAGATCTTTATCACATTTTACTGAATAATAATTGTAATAATTCATAATAAAGTCAAAAAGATTCAGACAGACAATGACTAAAAGATAATTAAAAAGGTAATTAGTATCTTCTAATATAAATTACACGTATTATAGTCATCATAGAAGTTTTAATAAAATTAATCCATTTCTAACCAACACGTGAATTATATAATGTTAAATAAAGATGTTTATATTAAAATTCGATTAGATACGGGTATCTATTATAGATAACTTAAAAAAAATCAAATACACCACAAATGTGAATTTTAATTACATTGTTTAGCACTTAAAATTTTACTATCGTGCATTATAATTGTTATAAATCTGCAGTAAATTTTAATTTGTCCACACATACAAAAATTTTGTTGTTTCCACATTAAATTTTATAACGGATATATTTTAATTACTATCTAATTCTTATTACGGACGCATTTCCAAAAAAGAACCATCGATGAAATCCAGACGCCCTAATATAGATATTAAACAGTGAGAACGTTTGTTACCCTTTTATACCACAACAACAACAACTTTGACTTTATGAAATTTTCGACATCGACATTGTCCATCATCTGTCTATCGCACTACTAAAAATACGCCAGTGTGGAAGCGTTAACTTAAGTAAATGTATTTCTTAGTGAAACGCAACAATTGCCGCCTATATAGCTACGTTTTTGGAGTGCTGCTCTCATGGGAAAGCATCAATTTAAAACAGTGGATTTCAAATACGCTCAACTGTAGCGCTTCAGAAGCGCTACAAAAGGTAGCCCGTGTGAAAAAGCTCTAAGTATCTATTATTTAAAAGCAGGTGCATCTGTCTATGACGATATAAAAAATCAATACATAACTAATTGTAACAGAGATCGAAATCACGATTCGCGTCTGACGGTTTCGACAGAGACTATCATAAACTTTTTATTCTATTTGGTTACGTGACTTGCCACGCAGGGTTAGCTACATCGTGGATTCAGTTCGACAGGTCGATATCATTATGGACATTGTTGAACATTTTTGAATTCCTCTAAAGGTTGCAATATATACTACAGATAACGTTTACCACGATGGTTTACAGTAATTCACTTGGATAATTGTAGTCATCATCATCATAAGGTCATCACTCCTAAGACTGGTTGGACACGTACCTCCACTCTTTCCTATCCTGAGCTAATCTTCGCATTTCCCCAATACTAGAGCAACCCACATCCTTAATTATTTGCGAACAGTAATTTAACCTAGGTCTACCTCTACCCCTTTTGACTTCTGTTTCTGCCTCTTATATGTCTCTGACTAGACCTTCATGTCTACCAACCTATCTCGCCTATTTTTGATTGACTTCCATAGAGTCCTCTGTTCTCCTATTCTTTCTAATACCTCTTCATTTCTAACCTTTAGTACCCACGTTATCCTCATCATTCGCCTGTAACACCACATTTCGAAAGCTTCTAACCTTTTCTTTTCTTTGTAGTCAGTCAAAATAGAATTAATTTTGGAAAGTGCATACATAGTTTACTTTTGCTGAATTGCTTAATGATTATTATTGTTATCAAATGGTTATAGTATCCGAAATGGTCCGCTACGTTGTTTCATACCGGCAGCCTAAATGTGATGTTTCTGATTAGTGCATGTCCAATTTTAAATGTTTAATCTTTCGGATTAGGCACAGGATATGCACCCAGTCGTGTCCAACAAATTTTCTGCTGCAAAATGTCAAATAACTAAAAAACCAAAGAAATCACGACAAATAGACATACCTGCAAGCACACGTGTGTGTATGGGTGCATAGTATATCCACATGTGTAAAATTTTAAATAATTTTTTGTTAATAATAAAATAAAATATAACATAAATAAATGATAACAAGCTTTTAATGAAAATAAGAATTAGTAATATTTATTGTAAGACATTTTCTCTGCTTTTTGTTTTTATTTTCGTTGGCTTGACGGTCCAATGAGTCTATCATTCCAGGAATTATGAAATACAATGTATTTAATTCCATACTAATTAATAATTTATATTTCATTTATGAAATGTTCATTTAGCTATAGAATCAGAAAACGATACTGACGAGAAGGATGAGAATAACAATGTTGAAAATCCACTTTATAAAGATGAAGATAAAAATTACAGTGGAGCTGAAGATGTGGTAGATGACTTGATTTAAAATTTTGGCTTATTTTTTAATATNTCCAGGCATAGTGCATACCATCTGATATTGCTCCAATGGTTCCTGTTATATTAATAAATTATTAATTAAAATTGGTTTTAAAATTAACACACTCATTCAGTCAATAGTGGCGTGTAAAATCGGTTTTGACTTGCAACATTGGACTTGGTCTTGAAAAACACAAGACCAAAGCCAACTTGAAAGATCATACGTGATTCTATCTGCAAGACCTAATCAACAACAAAGACTAAAAGCAAAAATAGAAAAAATAATAAATAGATGTTTCTGGTCTTACTATAATACATAATGTAAAACAATATTTTCAATAATATTTACTTTCCTTTCATATTAAATTATCTACATTACAGAAGATAAATTCAAAGTAATAATAATAATTTAGAATAAAGCCTAATAGTACTTAAACAAAACAAAAGAAAAGACTATAGATACAATAAAATGTGTGCCTGTTAAAAAAATCTTTATGCTAAATTAGAATGTATTTTAGGAAAAATATAAGGTTCCTAACTACTAGAAAATTTCCAATAATTTTATCAGTACCAAACTAGCCGTCAATGATAAGTAACATAATTGTTACGAAGATAGTATACTTTGTGAAAATGCATGTGGTTTTCGTTTTATGATTACATTAATGTGTATGTTAACGGAAATGTGTGTAGTCCGTCATTGAATACAATTCCTAGGAAATGTATATAATAAAATCTCCCGGAAATGTGTGAAATAAACTATATTAGACACATTTTCTAGGAAACCCATACATTTCCTAAATAGCAACCGGAAACGTATTACAGGTAATACTAAACAGGCAATAATACGGTACGCTGTTTGGAGATGTACCTATATCCGTTGGTGACGTTATTGTTTGGTTAGGGAGATTTATGACAGACTGGAGTTTCTTTAATGCTCCTGCCCGCCGAAGGAAGGCTGATATGTTAAATGTTAAAATAATGTAACGAAACTATTTTTGTTTCAGCAAACACGATGACCTTGAATTTTTAGGATGTTATAGAGGTGATAATCCTCATTGTTTTCATATACATATGTTGAGCGCGGAGATCATTATGAAGCATACTTTTCGAAGACATTATTCCGACATATCAGCCCGCCTCGGCGGGCAGGGGCATCATAGAAACTAAAGTCTATCATAAATCTACCTACTAACCATATAATAACGTCACTAATGTATATACATCTCCTAACCTAACCTAGCCAAACAATAACGTCACCAATGCATATACATCAGGCGATTGTACTATAGGGTTGTTCGGAAAGTCATTTCGTTTTTTTTGTGGAAATGAAAGACAGTTTTCGTATAACAAACAAATACTTTATTAAATTATATATTGACCGTTCTGGTCCAACACCTTTTGCCATCTTTCTGGTAGTAGCATAA